GTAATAAAAAAAACGAGTGAGGAAACATCCATGCGACCATTTAATGTAGTAACAGTACGTTAATGTGTCATTACCTCAAAAACTTTAAAACAAAGATAGGAGTTATTTGAGCCGATCAAGAGCCATGTTGGTCGTGGCGCTGACAGCCGGTACCACGAGGGTAGGATGGCAAGGAGAAGAAATGCAATTGACGAGAAACTGGTCCCTTATCTATACCCCACTGGAATTCCGTCTCAGCCGAGGTTCACGCGTGAAATATTTAGAGACTTGGGAATTTTAATCGCTTCGACACCTACGGACCCTAAAAACCACTTTAATCTATTTTTATTGCAAAGCATTTGACCATTTCTTTACTTTACAGTACAACAGTTGTCCCGTCCTTCAAGCTGGAATTTAGCCCACTGAGTTTCTCGCCGGATCTTCTCAGTGGGTCGCGTTTCCGATCCGGTGGTAGATTCTGCGAAGCACTGCTCTTGCTAGAGTCAGTGTTAGCAACTCTCCGGTTTGAGCCCCGTGAGCTCACCTGCACACGTTAGGGTGAAGCTGAAATAGCCTCTCAAGGCTATCAGCATAGGTAGGATTAAAAAAGCTGGAATACATGACTACATAACGCAGCAGTAATTTATGCACAAAACGATGCCTGTGGGGTCCGATAGGAACTTAACATCAGCTGAGCCGCGTGAACGTCTGCTCATCTATACTAATAATGCACTATTTATTTTTCTACGCAACTGTTTGTTTAAAAAAAAATACATACACCGCTGCGGAAGCTTTGTTGCACGATACTACGTCTCTGTATTTACAACGGGTCTATTTTTTTGTTTTTTAGCAAGGAAGGACTACCGATGGCCCGGGTCTTGGAAGAATAAATAATAAATATTAATAAAAACAAAACTATTCATCAAAAGGAGGCCTTTCCGGTTTCACAAAGACAGGTAGGCGAGCACGGTCTCAACTAGGAGGCATGGTATTTGCTAAAAGCTGCCCGGCCGCTTCCGGAATTTAGGCTTATTCGATCCCAAAGGGATATTGATACGTCCTTCATATTATTAATATTTGGTACATTGATACACTTCTATAGAAAACCCTACTTTTCTACAAATACGGAATTGGAACGGTCGAAATTTTTAATACGAATAAAATACAAATGTGGGGTCGAAACTAAACTAAGCCTAAGTGATTTACATTAATGAGGAAAATCTTCAGTTCCTTCAAGAAATCGTTTAAATACAAATTAGCGTTAATTTCTTAATTAACGCCGAAATAGACTTCGGATTTTCTGAAATCACTTCCATTTACGAATTATTTAGTGGCACTTAATTGCACTGGTATACATGTACCATAAAAATAATTCGCTCCCAATAAAATGTTACAAAATGATTTTAGCCAATGCTGATGAACAAGCCATGTCTTCAGAAATCGCAGACACAAACACAAATGCAAACATACACAATAAATGTAGAATTTTACACAACTTATTACGCGGTTCAATATTTATACTCCTAATTTGCAGTTGAATAAAAACATTTCTTAGAAACATTTTACGCTTTATTCTCGGCTTAACAATAGACATTATAAATCTCATCTCGGAAGCATCGCTGAGCTATTTGATTTGCGACGTTTTTATCGGAGGACCCCACATCTAAAATGGCGCCCCTGACTTTTATTTATTTGGACAATGTCTCAATTCCATTGCAATAATATCTATCTCATTTTTCAAACTGGAATAGAAAAATTATCGCATCCCAGCAAAAAATGACAACTTCGGCCAGCACGAATAATTTTTTTATGAAGGTAATTAATTGATACTGATAAATGTATTCGTAAAAATAATGTATTCGCTCGAGTCGTAACTACTTGAAAATACTTTTCTACAGTTTAATCTTGCATTTATCATAATAAATTGTAAAACAGAATGTTTTTTGATATTGAAAAGAAACATAAATACTACGAAATATTTTTATTCAAAATGAGACAGTAGCCAGCGAAATATTCAAACAACACAACAAATTTGTCAACAAATAACACATAAATAATTGTGTGTGTGTGTGTGTGTGTATTTGTATGTATATTGTTTTGTTTGTTGTAATATGTATATATTATTATATGTAATGTTTACTGTATGCACTAGGTTTGTGTTCCTAATTCTTCTTTCCATTTACGGGCCTACTGGAAGAGATTTCAACATGAAATAAGTAGTGCCCTTGTACTCTGTATACTTATTGTTATGTTTTTTTCTAACAGCTGTGTGTACAAAATATATTAAATAAATAAATAAATAACACCTTGGTCGTCCGTGACCATGAAAACCATGAAATACTCGAAACGTCGGAAACAATGAAAACTCGAGATTAAATCGGAAAAGTAGGTAGTACTAAGGCTTTGTCAAACAGAACGCGTAATTAGCGCGCGTCAGAGCGCTACGCTATGACGCCGAGATGTGTTGTACTACTACGGTAACATACCGTCTAACAGAGCGCCAGCGCTATAGCAGTGCTATTAGACGGTATGTTACCGTAGTAGTACAAAACATCCCGGCGTCACAGCGCGGCGTTAGTTTAGCGCTCTGACGCGCGCTAAGTACGCGTACTGTTTGACGAAGGCTTTAATTATAGTGAAATTGATGAATAATTTTGTTTTTATTAATATTTATTATTATTTCCACTCCGCTTGTCCTGCGAACCTAAAAACAAACTATTTCTTTAATTGTTTTCTGTGCGTCAGTCATTCATTCATCCGAATGAATTGATCGATTAGAAACTTTTTAGATTGTTATTGGCACTCTACGATTTTTCTAATTGTGCCATCAATGCACAATAGGCAGCGCTAGGGTTTTCAAGGTAGTTTTAAGAAATCAAAGTTTTTAGTAGTACATTTAGCGATCTACACTACAGAACGTGATCAGGTTTCACTAGATTCATATATTTTAAATAATTTGAAGTTTTTTATTATTAAATTATAAAACATGTTTTTCACTACTCAAGTTCCGGGCTTACCTCAGTTAACGACTATTCCGAGACTCTCAGTGAAAGCATGGCTGATTGCTCCCATTAGTGCAAATGAGAGTCCTATATTACTTAACATTATTGATGTAAAAATTACGGATTGTTTTTGGATAAAGTTTGTTTAAATTGGAATCAAATATTATAATTGTTTTTTTTTTATATTATGTTTGAGAGAGTACTGGTGGCCCGGAGGCCTTTCCAGTTTTACCAGGGCAGGTTCGCGAGCAAGGGCTCAGCCAGAAGGGGTGGGATTTGCTAACAGCTACCCGAGCGCCTCCAAAGGAGACCTAACAACTCAAGAGCAACTGTTTCGCGAATTAATCTACTACCGGATCGGAATCGCGACGCGCTGAGAAGATCCGGCGAGAAACTCAACGGGCTGATGTTTAGGTTAGGTTGCACATCGAACTTTTTGTCGAATTCGACGAGTACGGTTATCGAGGTCCCTACTGTGTTAGAGCTAAAGGTGTCTAATGTAAAGGTTATTGGATCTGATAGATCCGTAGGGACGTGTCTAGGGCGTCGACGGTGACTGGCTCCTGCGTGATCAGGATTCGGTGTTTTTTATCTATGTAGTATCTGAAGTCGTCGTGGCCTAACGGATAAGACGTCCGGTGCATTCGTGTTGAGCGATGCACCGGTGTTCGAATCCCGCAGGCGGGTACCAAATTTTTCTAATGAAATACGTACTCAACAAATGTTTACGATTGATTTCCACGGTGAAGGAATAACATCGTGTAATAAAAATGAAACCCGCAAAATTATAATTTGCGTAATTACTGGTGATAGGACCTCTTGTGAGTCCGCGCGGATAGATACCACCACCCTGCCTATTTCTGCCGTGAAGCAGTAATGCGTTTCGGTTTGAAGGGTGGGGCAGCCGTTGTAACTATACTGAGACCCTTAGAACTTATATCTCAAGGTGGGTGGCGCATTTATGTTGTAGATGTCTATGGGCTCCAGTAACCACTTAACATCCGGTGGGCTGTGAGCTCGTCCACCCATCTAAGCAATAAAAAAAAAAAGGTGGGTGGCGCATTTACGTTATGGATGTCTATGGGCTCCAGTAACCACTTAACGCCAGGTGGGCTGTGAGCTCGTCCACCCATCTAAGCAATAAAAAAAAAAGTAGGTAATCGGTAATGACCTGTGTTGTGGCTCCTGGTTACGTACATTTTTGGTTGTTTGAATTTATATTTTTGAATTAAGCCCCGATAGCCTGGCATAACTTTGGCTTTGTATGACAATAGTTATATTCATTAACCATTATCCAGTAACCATTTTCGTCTAGCATCATCAAGTGGTTTATGTGGTGTAGGCGAGTATAGTTCTCCCTATTTCGTAATTCTCCTTATGTTCTTCAGCTGTAATACCCGCAAAAGGCAAATCCCACCCCTCTTGGCTGAGCCTTTGCTCGCCCACCTGTTCTGGTGAAACTGGAAAGGCCTTAGGGCCACCAGTAATCTTTCAATCATAAAAAAATACCCGCAAAAAAAACCTTCCCCGTTCCCCCTTTCCCTACTCCCCGTCCCGAACCAGCCGATGCGTTAAATCGCTAGCTAAAGTGCTACTATGCCACTAGCGTTATCCGGCGATCGCCCCGAGCTAAAAGCTCTTCAGTACTATTAATTGAATTTGTCAAATTACTACAACTCGACCATTATAACAGTCCCGGCTTGCAATTTATTGTATATGTTGCCCGGCCCCAAAAGATTTAGCGGTTGATTCTACCATAAGGTAGAACTCTGAGTGACTAAATATTTTATTTTCCCACAATTTCCAAACGTTAAAACTTTAATAACATAATGTCACAATGACATAAAATCCCTCTGTCACTTTTGACATCTAACTTTAAATGCTGACTAAAATTGGCGAAATCTAAAAGGAAACGCCATAAACCTAAGAGATAGATAGATGACTCAAAATATTATCATCCCGTTTCAAAACATTGTAGCTTTTAATTTAATGTACATTGCAATAGAATAAAAATTTAAAATGTCTTTTACAACGAAAGATGTTGTCTTAAAAGAAGATCGACCTAAAACTTTACTCTTACAAAAGCACTCCGACTATTTAGCCAGTTACGGCTTAAATAAAGATGACTACGAGTATTGTATGACCGAATATCTAAGAATGTCCGGTATTTACTGGAGTTTAACTGCTATGGAACTCATGGGACAATCATCAAGGTATCAAAAGTATTTATATTATGATTTTTACCCGTTATTAACCTCAATCAATCATATTATTATATCAACCTTAAATCAACATAAACCTTGTAAAATTTGAACAATGAACATGGTTAAAAATTAATTCTCGTATAAAAATAAAGTGAAAGTCGCCTTTGAGAGTCCTACAAGCGTTGTAAAACCTGGAATTTTGTTCCAGGATGCCTAAAGAAGATATAATAGAATTCATTACACAATGCCAAGATAGTGAAAGTGGAGGTATCTCGGCTAGCATCGGACATGATCCACACATACTATACACATTAAGTGCTGTACAGGTAGAACATGAAACAACCAGAAAATCATTTTAAAATTTGAATAAAGTTACGTAATATTTTTATTTTGTTTGTCATTTCTTTTATTTGTTAACAGGTACTGGCGATGTATGATAGATTAGATGCTGTTGATATTGTAGGAATTGTCAGATACATAGTTTCCTTACAGCAAGAAGATGGTAGTTTTTATGGTAAATATTATTATCTTCACTTGCTTCTCATAAATAAATCAGAATATAATCTAAAATTTGTTGACTATTCATATCATACTACATTAAAATGAATGAATATTTGTCATAAAATACAAACATTACTATTTACTTTTTTTTAAAGAAAACATTAATTTACTTACTAAATCCAAAGAGCATTTGGTTATAGTATATTAAATTAAAACAACAATATTCTTTGCAATGTGTTGTGAAACATTATATTCCTAATTAAAAAATATTTTTACATTTTAATCTAATCATTTGTTATTTTCATTATTAAGCTGTTATTTATGGACATTTAAATAATGTGCTAAATTTCAACTTATTTTATATAATAATTGCATATTGATATTTACATGTACTTTCAAACAGAAAGACATAAGTACACTTTTCTGTAAAATATTTGAAAAGTCTGAATATAAATAATCCCAGTATACTATTTAAACTTTAATGTTAAATTAAAGTCTAAAAAGAAGGTTAATTATGTCTATGAGTCATGAAAACAGTAGAGAATGCTAGATTAAATACCTACCCAAATTATTCAAATTATTTTATGTTGCTTAAAGGAGACAAATGGGGTGAAATAGACACTAGGTTCTCTTTCTGTGCGGTAATGTGTCTATCACTCTTACAACGATTGGATGCCATCGACATCAACAAGACTGTGGAGTTTGTGCTCAGTTGCATGAACTTTGATGGTGGATTCGGTTCCAAACCTGGATCGGAAAGCCATGCTGGTAAGTCATTTTGGTTTATATATTTGGTACATTTTGAGAAATTATTTTAGTTCTGGCATGATATAAATGTCTTTCTTAATATTATTAATAAAATTCTGTAGACTAGCCATCTTAATATAAAACAAGATATTTTAAAAATACTTGAATGTATTTTACAAGCTCCAAACAAATTTTGGACGTCGGTCTAGCAAATTTTTTCCTGTAAAATTTATAGTAATTATTATTTCGTGGATACGAATACATGTATATGAGTAATTCGAAGTGTTTTTTTTTTGTTTCAAAACTAGTATTTATTTTTTAAATTCCTGCAGGTCTAATTTACTGCTGTGTGGGTACACTGTCGATATGCAAGCGCATGGACGCCCTACACGCAGACGGGCTGGCGTGGTGGCTATGTGAACGACAGCTGCCCAGTGGTGGTCTGAATGGTCGACCGGAAAAACTGCCAGATTTGTGCTACTCTTGGTGAGAACTCTTCACTATAATTTAGACTATATTATTATGGCCACCCATAGATGTGGAGCAACTTTTTTTTATTGTTTAGATAAATTCACGAACAACCTAGTATTGAGGGATTACGGGAGCCAATAGATATCAGCAACGTAAATGCCGCCACCTACTTTGAATGTGATGAGTTTCAAGTCTGTTGTTCCAACCTTGGACAGGTTGGTAGTGTGTATCGGTGGCTATCTAAGCTCACATGACGCTACTAAACAAGACTATCTCTTAACTAGCTTCAGGTCTATAAATATTAATTTTTATATAAATTATGGGAAACTTTTATCCTAAAACTGTTGTAAAAGGGTTCGGCGAGAAAACTAACCCATCGACACAGCCCACTGAGTTTCTCGCCGGATCTACTCAGTGGGTCGCTTTTCCGATTCAGTGGTAGATTCTGCGAAGCACTGCTCTTGCTAGGGCCAGTGTTATTAACACCTCCTGGTATGAGCCTCGAGAGCTCACCTACACGCTAGGGTAACGCTGATATAGCCTCTCAAAGCTATCAACATTGCTAGGGAAAATAAATTGAACCCAATATGTAATTGAAAAAATTTAAGTCATGGGAATATCCAATCTTGTACCTCGAGTATTTTAATTTTCATTGCATTAAGCTCATCCTGCTATATTCATAAATATAATTTATTACATAAGAACTGCATTTATTTTAATATTATGTTTCTCTCTCAATGAAGCGTAATATACAATTGATATAAAATTTAAAAAGCGCCAGTTTTTTCATATGTAATTAATTGTCCGATGCTATTGAAATTTAGTTGTTTGACAAATTCCCAACAGTCTTTTAGTTACTTTAAGGGAAGGCAGATGGCGTGATTTATCAAAAAAGGGTATTAGTATTAATGTCACGATTAAAAGAGCTACTGAAGCGTCACTGGAGTCAACCAGTAAAAACAGATTTTTTTTTTGTTAAAAAGCGATATTTATGCATAGTTATCTATTTAACTATGGACGAAGGGGCTTTAGATTGGGATCCAACTTTTTTTTTATCGCTTAGATGGGTGGACCTGGTGCCACCTGCCCATCTGGTGTAAAGTAGTTACTGGAGCCCATAGACATCTACGACGTAGATGCGCCACCCACCTTGCGATATAAGTTCTAAGGTCTCAAGTATAGTTACAACGGCTGCCCCACCCTTCAAACCGAAACGCATTACTGCTTCACGGAAGAAATAGGCAGGGTGGTGGAGGGGGGAAATAGGGGGACTCGCAGGAGGTCCTACCACCAGTAAGTGTGTACCACAAACTGTAAAGACTGCCATAAAAAAAAAAATTGTTATAGTATCGGAATGATAACATAATTTTAAAATTACAGGTGGGTCATGTCTTCACTTTCAATGCTGAATAGAATTCACTGGGTAGACAAGAAAAGCTTAGAAGAATTTATCTTAGCATGTCAAGATAATGAAACTGGTGGCTTCAGTGACAGGCCCGGAGACATCACAGACCCATTCCATACATTGTTTGGTCTGGCAGGCCTTTCATTACTAGGCAACACCAGTATAAAACCTGTTAACCCCACATACTGCATGCCACAGGAAACAATAGACAGGCTGAAACTAAAACCACAGATACTGCAAATTTAATTTTAAGGATAAATGTTTTTTTATTGTATGTTTACATTTGACGTGAATAAATTATGTTATTTAATTTATTGGGATATTGTGTATTTTATAAAGCTATTGTGCGTGTGTGTGCGAAGTGTCTATGTGGTTTATAACAAAATCATGATTGTTTGAGCTTAGAAAATCGATATTCAATTTGTATGTCAATATTTTACATAGTGGCAGTAGTCTGGTACCTAAATAGTTAATGACACTACATGCTAGTTTAGTCAATTATTAGAAAAGTAAATGCTAGGCTAACGCTATCCAAACAAAACATTTCATAACAAAGTAACTTCTTGTAACATGATTTATGTACTTGACTCGGTTAACTCGGCTCTAGGCTGGGCTCTAGGATGCACTTCCCCTTCCATATTACCCAAGAGCATACATCCTGGGCCTCAGACACGTCCTTACGGATCCATCAGATCCATTCACTAGGAGCAGGCTTAGGGACCCCGGTAACCGTACTCGTCGCAACCTAACCGGAGTCTTCTCGGAATAAACCGAATCTTTTCAGCGGGTCGCGATTCTTATACGGTAGTAGATTCATTCGCGAAGCAGCTGCTCTTGAGTTGTTAGCAAATCCCACCTCTCCTAGTTGAGCTCGTGCCCGCCCACCTGTCCCGGTGAAACTGGAGAAGGCTCCGGGCCACTAGTAATCCTTCAATCCCAAAAAAAGTATACAACCTGCTTTAAAGAAAGTTTGAAAATGTTCTCAGCAGTTGTCTGAAACGCCTGAAAGAACTGATGTCCGACAATCAATACTGGATACCCATTGCCTATGGTTGACACTCCAATTTTTTATATATCTAAAATATTACCATCGGCTTCTTGCGATGCCCACTGTCGAAACTAAATAAATATTTATGAATACATACTTTGTTCTATGAAAAGGGAACTGAATTGATTGAAACGAAATGCGATGACGTGACCAAGATATCTCAGTAATATGTTGGGAATTTCTTGACTTCAATAGACTTTTTGAAAGAACACGAGGAGCCTCGTTCGGAAATTTTGTTTCTTTTTCGCAAACTTGTGAAAGTCTACCGCACAGATGCTGAGCGGTTAACTGCTTTGATAGACTGTAAGTAATCACAGTCACTAGTTAACATCAGCAATAACAGGGGCAAAACCAAGCCGCTGCCTTTTGACATTATTATTCGTTTAAAGTTAAAGAAACACAACAAATGAACATAATGAAACAGTTCACTGTTCGTGTTCCTGCAAATAGGTTCATCTGATTTCGTAAGTAGAATGGAATGAACTAAATACTAACTTGGCTGTATAAATAAAAAACTCGTCGTTGAATGGCTTGTCATAACCAGTTTAAATTGTAAACATAACCTTTAAATTAAATTCAGCAAAATACCTACCTATTTCAAAATGAACTTTATAATGATTAGAACGTATTTAAAATAAGCACCAATATTAAAATGAACTTTTCATACTGTGTACAATTTTTCATATTTAGCGTGTGTGTTCATATAGTCACATTGTTCACATATATAATTTACTATAGCGATATTTTCGCATCAATTTATCTAAAAACAGTTGAAACGGAATATGATTATATTATTGGTAAGTGAATTTCTCGTATTTCTTTATATTTTGTCCTACTACTTATCAGCTCAACCCCATACCTGCTCTAGTTTATTTTCCTTCTGGTTAAAACATATACCAGCGAGCATTAAACTTAATAAGTATATGTTTTTAACTTAAAAAAAATAATGAAATCAAACGATTAATAAATTGAGGTTCATTCTTGAGAAAAAATTTTTGTTTGTTAGTATATAATTAAATATAATCGAGCTCTGATTAAAGCTAATTAAACTATATAGCTGAGTAATGTTACTGAGTAAAATAAAAAAACAATAATCACAAACAGCTACCTGGAGCCACCGTGTTCATCCACAGTGCGTTTCCAGAGATCTTCTTTGTCACGTACCATCTGGCTTTAGAATGAGCTCTCCTCCATAGTGTTTGAGCATTATGATATGTTCTTCTTCAAATAAAGCTTGTGGAGAGTATTAAACGGTAGGCAGCAGCTTGGCTATGCTCCTGGCATTGCTGAAGTCCATAGGCGACGGTAACCACTCACCATCAGGTTAGCCATGCTCATCTCCCTACAAAGCCAATAAAAAGAATAATAATAACTTACTCTTGAATATTGCAGTTGGATCTGGCACAGCTGGCTCCATAATAGCACATCGCATAGCCACAGAGACTAACTACACATATATAGTATTGGAAGCAGGAAGCAAGGGTCATGGTTTACTGGATATTCCTGTTCTTAGTCCCTTTCTACATAAATCGGTTTATGATTGGAACTATGAAACATCACCACAGGAAAATGCTTGCTGGGGCATGGTTGACCATGTAAGAATGCTCTCCAAAGTATTATATCATTCGAAATGTAATACTGATCATTTTAAAGTCCCAAAAAAATATAAATATGTACAATTTTTTTATTGCTTATATGGATGGACGAGCTCACAGCCCACCTGGTGTTAAGTGGTTACTGGAGCCCATAGACATCTACAACGTAAATGCGCCCACCTTGAGATATAAGTTCTAAGATCTCAGTATAGTTACAACGGCTACCCCACCCTTCGAATCGAACCGCATTACTGCTTCACGGCGGAAATAGGCAGGGCGGTGGTACCTACCCGCGTGGACTCACAAGAGGTCCTACCACCAGTAATTACGCAAATTATAAATACATTAATTATAATCAATATTACTAATGCACCATAACTATTTTTTATTTGACAGTACAATTGCATATATTTTATTTGCAAACTAGATAATTAAACTCAATCTTGTGTCGGAGTATTCAATTCATAAAATATCAACAACTGCAAAAAAACATTTTGTTCTCAGAAATGCAGACTCCCTCAAGGCAAAATAGTTGGGGGATCATCCAAATTAAATAACATGGTACATGTCCGAGGCAACATTTCACATTATGCAGTCTGGTTCCACAGAAAATACTCAAATGATTATATAAAAAAACAATTTGAATTTGTAGAAAAACATTTTCTTCATCTTGACGATTTACAATATGAAAGCAAACTCGCCGATTCAGTTTTGAATGCTGCTACTGAACTTGGGTATAAGATTTTAGAATCAGAATTTGATCTAGGTTTCACAAAAAGCTTATTAAGCCAAAGAAACGGAAAGAGATGGTCTACATCAGATAACTTAGATATGTCTAAAGTGTTTAGTAATTTTTTAGTAGAAGAAATTATTTTTATTGGTAACACAGCTGTTGGTGTTAAATGCTCACTGTCCAATCAAAAAATTCAAATGTACGCTAAAAAGGGTGTGATATTATCTGCGGGAACTTTAAATACCCCGAAAATATTACAATTATCTGGGATTGGACCGGCGCACATACTGAAGTCACTAGGGATACCAATTGTCAAAGACTTACCAGTTGGCAAGAATTTACAAGATCACGTAACAACTGGTTTAGATTTAGTTCTTTTTAATAAGACAGTTTCAATTTCTGCCTTAGATATGATTAACCCAATAAATGCCATTAAATACTTTATTTATGGTACAGGTTCTTTCACCTCTCCAGGCTGTGAAATATTAGGATTTCTATCTACTAAGAAATTGGCAACACCAAATATCCAGTTCATGATCTTGCCAGTGGGGCTGTCTTCAGACAGAGGTAGTCTTTTGAAAAATATTTTAGGTATTAAAAATAATGTATGGAATAATTATTTTAATAGGATCAATAAATATGCAGCGACTATTTTGCCTATAGTCTTACATCCAAAGAGTAAAGGTACTGTTTACATCAACAGTACTGATCCCAGATTACCTCCTGTAATAGATCCAAAATATTTATCTAGTACTGTCGACAGAAGAACCTTAATTGATGGCTTGAAACTAATAAAAGAATTTGTTAATACAGAATCTATGAAAAAAATAGGTGCCACTTTAAATGAAATAAAATTTCCCGGTTGTGAAGATCACGTATTATTTACAGACGAATATTTTAATTGTTACATAAAACATTTAACGCTAAGTAGCTATCATCCGATCGGAACATGCTCAATGGGTCCTCCGACCTCAAAAAACTCAGTTGTAGACACATCGTTCAACGTGATCGGTGTTAACAGATTATACGTTGTCGACGCCTCAGTACTGCCAACAATGCCAAGCGGCAATATAAATGCAGCGGTCGCAATGATGGCCAGCTTGTTCTTCGAAACAAATTTCAAAAGTGAACAAAGAATGTTTACAGAAGTTTTAAATTATTGTTATGTATACGATTGGTTCATAGAGTATGTTTTTCGTATATGTTTGAAGTGACTTTTTATTTTATTTTTTGTAAATATTAATTAATGCATAGAAAAAATAAAAAGTTATAAAAAAATATAATTAAGATGATGTTTATTCGTTTTTTTTTATCGAAACAAGCCGTTTATTCGCCGACACATTAATTATGTTCAATTAAACTTTATCAATATGTTAAGTATTCCGGACGGCCACCGCTCAGGTTTCGGCCACCACGTGTGATTTTTAGACTTCTTACTCTCGTTAAAACGTGGTGGCTCGAGTATTGCCGCAGTGGCTGTCGCGGAACGGGTGCTGGGATTGGTTCGAGGAAAATAACGAAGGCTTCAAGTATGGCGTTCACACGGTCCTCGTGGCTTGACCGGCGCAGGGCGTAGGAGCGAGTCTTTTCTTGTTCGGTTGGCGCTCTCCTCTTCTTCTGGAGAGGTCTTGACTCGTCGGCTCGCTGTCTCGAACTGAATTTGCAGCGAGGTAGGCCCCTTATTTATGGTCGCCCACGCGCACTCGGCCAGCGCTATTATGAGTCCGAGCACGGTGGGCGTCTATTGTTCTCTCGGCCGCCTCGCTCGCCTATTGTTTGCCTAGTCGCTCTATTAGTTGCCCGTATTGTGACTCGCTCCTGCGTTCCCACGCCAAATTAAAGACCACGAGGACCAATCTTTATTTACAAAATAACATTTACAAATTAACTTATTTCTATTTACATTTGTATGCTAACTATTTTTAACATACTGACTATCTCTATTTCTATTAAATCTAGCTGTACTTGCGAACATATTCCTATTCTAGCGTATCTATTTACGGACATTTCTGTTTTAACGTATTATCTATTTATTCTCTATTTATTTATCGCGGACATTTTCTATTATTTTACAACTATCTATGTGCATCGCGAACAATATCTATTTAACTATTTTCAATCATTTATGTCCGTTCGGGAATATCTTATTCTAACTATGTTTCTTTATGTCCGTCGCGAACATTAAGTTAAAATTAACATTTAAGTGCCATATTTTCCTGTTTATCAGCCGATATTGTTTTTGTTTTGTTTTAATTTTTTCGAAGACTTTAACGAGATTGAACGCTACCATTAAAAATCTTTAAAAACAGTATGCTTTTTCTTCGTAATGTCAACAATAACCCAAAATGAAAATTGTAATACATAAATTGACTATAAAGCTTGAAGTATCAGAGAATATAGTTGAATTTCGAACTTTGTGCAATTAAATAATCTTGAAATTCTCGGTGCTTTAGCACTGAGTTCCAATTAAACCCTCTCACATACACCTGTACTTAGTGGGGGTAGGACCTCTTGTGAGTCCGCGCGGGTTGGTACCACCACCCTGCCTACTTCTGCCGTGAAGCAGTAATGCGTTTCGGTTTGAAGGGTGGGGCAGCCGTTGTAACTATACTGAGTCCTTAGAACTTATGTCTCAAGGTGTGTGGCGCATTTACGTTGTAGATGTCTATGGGCTCCAGTAACCACTTAACACTAGGTGGGCTGTGAGCTCGTCCGCCCATCTAAGCAATACAATATAAAAAACTTACCTACTGTATTACATTCTATTCTCATCACGCATGACCTACGATTTGATTTTTTGCATATTTGATGACGGCTTTGATGATGAGCACACATGTATAGTTCTATAGTATAAGCGATGGGTATAAATAAATAAAAGTTTTTCATACAAATATTTTATTTTCACAATCATTTTACATCTTTTGAATTACACATTCACAGGTATACGATTAGAATGACTAGGTGAAATGTACTCGTAAAAGATTCGCAATGAACATAAATTAGTTGCAACTACTAGTGAGTTGAATAACTCGATTATTAGAGTTGTAATGTGTTCTAAAATAATAAATAAATAAAATATAAACTAGCCTACGGACAATGCGGTGTGAGTTCGGCTCAGGCGACCTTAAAAATAAGTCTGACCGATTTATCAACATAAGATACTGGTATGCGTCTCCGCAATGTTCGACTTGCTGTCCCTTCCGTATTTCGTTCGATCTTCTTCAGTTTCCTCATTTCTGCTTACTCCGTAATTCATAATCTTGATTGTTGGCAAATGTCGCAAGAATCTACCTACGCTACCATCCTGCTTATTCCTTCCTACTTACACATTTGAGACAGTAATCTAACCTATGTCCCTAGGTCGGCCACCATTACTTGATACCACGTCGAATGAAATGTGCACGCTCTTTTAAAAGAGCTTCAGATTAATGTAAAGTATGAAGTCGTCGTGGCCTAAAGGATAAGACGTCCGGTGCATACATGCTTAGCGACGCACCGGTGTTTGAATCCGGCAGGCGGGTGCCAATTTTTCTAATGAAATACGTACTCAACGAATGAACTCACGATTGACTTCCACGGTGAAGGAATAACATTGTGTAATAAAAATCAAACCCGCAAAATTATAATTTGCGTAATTACTCGTGGTAGGACCTCTTGTGAGTACGCGCGGGTAGGTACCACCACCCTGCCTATTTCTGCCGTGAAGCAGTAATGCGTTGCGGTTTAAAAGGCGGGGCAGCCGTTGTAACTATACTGAGACCTTAGAACTTATATCTCAAGGCGGGTGGCGCATTTACGTCGTAGATGTCTATGGGCTCCAGTAACCACTTAACACCAGGTGGGCTGTGAGCTCGTCCAACCATCTTAGCAATAAATAAAAAATTAAAAAATATCGTACGATGTTATAAAAAAATTATGTTTACCGATTTTATCTTTATCGAAATTTTAATATTTGTAGTACCTACCAATTATTAAACCTACTTTGTTCGTGCTAGTCACAAAATGAAAAACCTCATTAAACGAGATTGATAAAATAGTTCAACCCTAAATCATTTACCTATTCACTTTTTGTAAATAACATTTTTTATCGTTACATCAATTTGTTGTAAATGTTAACAATCGTGGACGGAAGAATCCTATTTAAATATCTAATGCCTACTAATGATCAAACTACAATACTCCACAAGAATACCTATTAAACGTGCAGAAACTTACTAGACACGTTTTTCACAATAATAAAACATTCTGTAAGCTATATGTTTACTTGAGTCTTTAAGATGTAAAACCGGCTTAGTTGAATATTAAAAGGTTCACTTAAATTTTATTGATGGATGCTGCCACCCACACCCTAGAGCGGAAATCAATCATATAGGTACCTGGTATCCAGCTGTCAGGGTAATAAAATTAGTTTTATAACAGAACTAACTGTAACCATCCGCTTCGCTGGGCATTTAAAATTAACATTATTATTTTTCACCCCCACACAGATTCTCATCATTAACGCCCCCGCAACTGGTGTAGGAAGTCCAACACTCATTTAAATATTAGCCTATCCATTAAGTACATGTATTTTCTACATGGGTACCAAGTTTCAAGTCAATCGGATGTATGGTTCAGTAGTTATAACGGAACATCCGTAAAAACCACTGTAGATTTATATATTAGTATAAATACTAGCGTACCAAATACGTCCATCAACAACAAATAATGCCGTACACAACCATACGTGGAAATTTATATTTAAATTTCATTAAATTTTAATAAGACATGTTGACAAATTCTTCCGTAGATACATTAAAAATAATTATTGTTATTCGATAAATAGGTAGGTACCTAATATAGTAGATTTTCACAAAAAAAAACAATTGCACGATTTAATTAGGTTAAAGCACATTTTTAATTGTCTCTAAACATTGAAAATCATTATATCTAAGATTAGGTCTAATTTTATCTCACGACTAACATGAGCAAATGGACGCAATCATTTTGTAGGACGGATCATCTGATAACGACAATCTTAAAATAAAAATACATATTATTAAGTAATTTAGTCAAAAGACAATAAAACTATCTTTCAAATACGCAATTATTGCCACACTATTTACAAACTATGTTTAATACTGAGCGGTAAAGATTATCCGTTTCAACTAATTTTAAATTCAATATTACGAGCTGTCACCTTTAAGAGCCTTCAAACTAGGTTGTCACTTTGGAAGCGGACGCGAAAACATCAATTTAACCTTTGAAATTTGCAAATCGCCATTTTTTTATTTTAATTTCAACAAATCTTATTGGTACAACATTTTTTGCTTCGAGTCATACTAATGTGATCGTAATGACGACTTTAAACATGATGATGCATTTGAAGGTGACATAAATGTTGCTATAAAATCCATCTTTTTTTTTATTTACGTGAAATTATTGAACATGTTGTTTCAGATCGGTTTTTATCCCGATTTCTTTGGGTGGTTCACAATATGAAGTGACAATCCATAGTTTTTTCTTCTTATCATTTAAACTTAAACACTAAATAAATATTTTGTTATTTTTTAATTTGTGCAAAGTTTGAAACAATGATTTTAATACTGTTTCAATGCCAAATAATCGTATTATTTGTTCAGAATGAGCTGTTTTTTGAGCAAAAAAATTTATGAATTTGAGACGTGATCTTATAGAAGTATCTAATACTCCACACCTTAGGTATTTAAATGCATTCACTACATATTGGATTGTGCATTTTCTTAACCTACAAAATACAAATCCATATTCCCTTACGAAAACACGACTTTATCCTAATTTTAGCCTAATCTTTCGCTTAAGCCGATAATAATGACTAGAAATACTGATTTTAGGAATTCAAATAATTTTTTTTTTCAACCATAGACTTATTCCAAAGACAAGACTATTCACATTGTGTGTCACATTCTACGTCTCAACCGAATATACGTAATTAAGAACTCCTTGACGCCTTTTCTACTTAAGAAAAAAAAAACTTTCGATTTGATTTGGTCAGTAATCATAACTGTAACTAAATAAAAAATAATACCTACTTAGGTATGTGCTACGTACTAATTCGCAATTCTAAATAAATGTCAAAACATACATAATAATTGACTAGAATTTTTTATGTCACAATAACTTAAAAATAAGAATTTCGACAAGTAAAATTAACATTGCCTTGACTGAACAATAATAATGTATATTATAACATTACTTGGGGGCATATGTGGGTATTTAAAGAATAGTAATGAATTTCCTGTTTTTTTTTTTAAAGTCACATGAAAAATAAATGTAAATAAATGTACTAGTTTTGAATAGCCTTTAAAAATAATACTTACATACATTTCGATTTTGACGAAAATTGAATTATGATTTCTAAATGTATACTAAAACTTAAAAACTGAATCTTGAATTTGTAATTTGATGTACTTTTAAGTATGAACTTGTCCTGATTCGAGGCGTCTCCTATGCGATTCCTAATATAAATGTTACTGACATTTTATTAATCGGCTGCAGTTCAAAGAATGGTTCATAATTCAGAACATGCTTTGTTCCGAAATAATGAATTCGCATGACCGCAAATTCACAATAAAAAATAGTAGCACTATTAAAATTTAAAAACGAATAACCACAAACAACAAATAATGTTGACAGTGATATCTTCGTTTGTCACTACTTATCGATCAAACTAATTACAAACCCACCCACTTAAAATTTAATTAACTTTTTTTTTCCATCTTAAATCTTGATAACTGATATTTAATGCCGCCGTATCATTATGGCTTAGTTTTTGTTAGAATTGTTCATTTCGATGCCTCCAATGAACACTACGCTATCTCCAAATTCGTAGATTTACAGGAGGAGCATTTAAACGAAAAAAGTTGATAAAATCTTTATTATTGCAGATATATTTATGGTTTTTTGTGTAGCTAGCTGATTTACTCTTGCTTCGAACCCCATCAATAATGATTAATTGTAATTTTTAACATAGTGAAGCGATTTGCGTGAAAAACGACAATTTCAAAATTTTGTGTGTAGAGTATTCATTGGAGGAATCGACACACAGGAGTGTTCATTGGAGGCATCGATTTGACATTTCAATTAGATATACATGTAGTGAGAAATTATTTTCCTTCGAGAAAATTCGGATCTTTATCGGAATACGATGATACTCGAACTGTCAATGAATAGTCATATTAAATGACAATCGTATTAATTATCGTATCGTATGGCTCTAAGATGGGTTCTGAAGCTATTTGAGAGAGCACGATAAATACGAACTTTTCCGAAAAAATACGAAGGAAAATCTTTTCTCACTATATTTATACGTTAAAATCTTAATATTGGCGTATTGTCTTAAATTCCAGTCTATAAATAATAAAAGAAATCCTCGCAATGCATTTTCGCGCTTACTTAAAACTGAAATCCAAATAATTATCCAACATGTCAAGTTGCAAATCATCCCATTCTGTCGGATTAAGTAAGAGATTAGTTAAATCGTCTTCAGGTAACAATGGCGGCGGAATAGCCGGCTCCACAATAACGTTAGCCCCTATATTATTTGATAATTGGATGTTATCAAGAGATTCGATGCTTTGTAAATTGTAGTCCGGTAAATTCAATGTTATTGGTTCATACATTTCATTAGTTATAGAATCCTGAAGGATGCTTTCGACTGCCTTCCCTTCTTCACTCGTGTTATCAGCTCTTGTATCCGGACTAGATTTGGTTTTCTTTTTGTGAGCTCTGTTGGAAATGCGCTTGCTGCCTTCTAAGTGAGCCAAGTCGAGTTTCCAGAAGCCACCTTTCCCTGGTTCGTGTTTCGACCGGGCCACTTTGACGAAAACTTTGTTCAAGGACAGATTGTGTCTTATTGAATTCTGGAAATGAAACGGTGTACGTAATGTATTGGCTTATTAGGTTACTTCTTCGAAAAAGCGGTAACTCTCTTATTGCAGTCACCTCTAAATCCTCCCGATCTACTCTCGGTGCTTTTAAACTCTCCGAGCACCGGTCACCGTACAACAAGTTCAACGTGCAACCTAGCCCATAGGCACAACCCAGTTTGTCGCCGGATTTTCTCAGTGGGCTATGATTTCGATGCGGTAGTAGATTCAGTGAAGCACTGCTATTGCTAAGGCAATTGTTAGCAAGTTCTCTAAGGTTGAGTCCCGTGAGCTCACCTACCTATTCGCGCGCTGTTTTTATAACCCTTAATTGTATATTATATTAAGGCTACCAACGATTAGTTAGGAAAAAAATTGAGCTTATTGAGCTGGTAGTGGTAATATAGCTTGTAACAAAAAATACAAAAATGTGTTTGATAGTTGTTCCTTCGTTCATACAGAACTTATAAAAATCGATATGAATTATTGGATTTTATGAACCGGAGTAGAAAATGGAGTTATTTTTATACCGATTAAATTTCACACCTCAAATTTTTTCGAAGAAATAGCAAACTGGGTTTATTTCATACGAATGAATTCCATGCTTCTTCCGTAAATGACACGAGACCATATATTTTAATATTTTACCATACAACATATTTGCTACTACTATGTCCCCTTATTTTGGAAATTACGTTAATTGCTCTCAGACTCCACGTGTTCAATTATCGAATAAGTAAACGAAATTTATGAGGGAAAAAATGCAAAGTAAAAAACTATCCACTACAATATCATATTATGTACTTATAATCAAAACGAGTTGCAATTGTTCCCTACATGCCCTTCGTTGGAAGGACGAATGACTATTAGAAATTAATAAACCTATTCTTCCTAAAGTTCAGACCCTATATTTTGTCATATTTGATGGCGAGGCACAACTGTTTTTTTTTGTGAGGGCATCGCTACAAATTGTGAGACTAATAAAAAAATACACTTATGGTAAATAATAATGTCAGAAGCCACGGGTAGTTCACTACCTGCCTATTTCTGTCGCAAAGCAATCGCACGCTCTGAAGGATGAGACTCCAGTCCACCTCACATCTAAAGGTGGGGGTCAGTAATCATTTTGTATAGTCTGTGGCTTCCGGCATCCACTTAATACCAGCTGCTGTGGCGTCATTCTATTAATGCAACTAAAAAAATGATGTTACGTAATTACGACTGAAAGAGATTACGATGATATTGAACTCTGTGCTCGGACTCATTTAAGTGACTTCTCTAAGGAATGAAACGTATGATAACGCTTTAAGATGAATACGGCAATTTAAAATTCAACAAAACGTAACTTAGTGTATTGGTACGTGCTTTTTTTTTTCGAAATTGCGACCCTTTGTTTTTTATCACACTAACACATCACCAATGACTCTAAAGTAATTTTTTTTTAATAAAGCCACAAATAAAATAAATGCAAAACTATATCACGTTGAACTTATGCGAAGAAAAACTAATAATTCCAGAAACTGTATCGCCGCAATTACTAATCACGTTATATCCAATAATTGCCCCCTAACACTCGAAGCCTCCACTCTATTTGGTGATCCAATCATACGCTATCTTATCAATTTCGCGTGTAACGTATTTATTAAATCGGTTACCCTCATCACTACTGGTTGATAAGACTCACCTGCCATGTGGGATCCGCGTTCCTGTAGTACTTGAAGTTCTCCCTGATCCAAGAATATATCGCGGACAACGTCATTTTGTCGTTGTTATATCTCATCGCCATGCAGATGAGGGTGCTGTAGGAATATGGTGGTTTCTTGTCGCTGTTCCTTTGGTATTCATCTTTGTTCTCCATAAAATCGTTCTGGCATTTAGCTATAGTCTGATTGAACTTTTGCAGTCTCGTGTTCTGCGACTTCAGTGGCGGAGTCGGAGACATCGGCGATATAGGAAACTGTGGGACCGCCATTATGTTCGTTATGTTCTGGAGCCAGGTCAGGTTAGTTAAATCCTGTTCGTCATCTATAACTTTCTCGGGCTTCATTTTCTTGAGACTTTTTTTGGGAACACCTTCCTGGGCATGTTTCGTTTCATTTGTCGGCGTCTGTTTGTTGGCGTCGTCTCGGTTGATTGTATAGCTCTCTGGTTGCTCGTAAACATATTCTATTTCAACCGTGTGCGATGATTCAGGCACTGTATGGTCCACGGCGAAGTAAGCCTCCCCATATTGTTCACTTGAATCTCCATAAAAATGTATGGTAGCCGTGTCCAGCATTTCGCCGGATACCGGAGACAACCCTGAAGTAATATGCATCGCGTTCTACATTTCTCGCAGCACCTGAAAACGTTCCGTCACACTTGTGAGTCATTACAGTATGAATCAACTAATTTCATAGCAGCGGGGTTGCTAATTATTATAGTTTTGAATTTTAAATTAATATCGTGCAATTGGAATGATTTTTTTTTGCGCAATACCTGTTATTAGACGTGGTGGTCGAAGGTGACCATCCAAGATGCCGGAGGGCGATCGATCGGCGCGGGTGCGGTGGCGTGGTGGTGGTGGTCAGCAGCCCCCCGCGCGCTCCATGCTGCGATCGAAGCGGTAGTGGCGAGTGGTGTGTGCCTCCCCACGGCGCGCCGGCTAGTGCGGCAGGTGCGCGGGCCCCATTGTCTGCCGCACGAACAGGTGTGTGGGGCCCGATCGATATTTTTCCGCCCGCAAGAGCACGGGGCGACTAGCCCGCATCGCATAGCTGATAGCTTCGGACAATTAGTCACCGATATCGTGGTCAGGACCGAACCGAGTGTCTGAACGTCTGACAAGGAACCAGAACTGACTAGATTGTTTAAATTTCAGTTTTCTTCGACCAAGTTAAACATTACTTTAATAACTAAACAAGTACTAATTTTAGTATTTTAGCTAATGCATAAGACCAGGGTCGTTTCAAAATGATATGCTCTCATGTCTTCATTATCTTCATTAACCTTTTAGTGTCGTTAAAATACTAACTCGCCTTTGATTCGTTAAATAAACATACAAACTTTACGCCACCACCCACTTAAAGACATGACTTGATTATTTTACTAGAAATCTATCAAATTCTTCAACAGAATACATGTACACATTATATTGAATATGATGTATATATTTAATGCGTAAAGTTTCTATATACGTTTAGGTTTCGTATGTATGGCAGAACGCCACGTGTCGTCCCCATAGATAGAGCCCACTGAGTTTCTCGCCGGATCTTCTCAATAAGTCGCGTTTCCGGTGGTAGATTCTGCGAAGCACTGCTCTTGTTTGGGTCAGTATTAGCAACACTTCCGGTTTGAGCCCCGAGAGCTCACCTACCCGCTAGGGTAAAGCTGATATATCTGCCCAAGACTATCAGCATACGTAAGAAGGAAAAAAAATCGTGTAGTCATTTTTAATTTTCAAGCTTCCGAATCCATGTCTGCACAGAGCGTCTTATCAGTCACACTTCCAACGAAGACACCCTGCGGGTACTTCCGTAACTCCTCGGGTTGTTTCTTGAACGTATCTACAAAATGTCGACTATCCCTAACTATTCAAAGATGTCTCGCAACTATTAAAACTAATTTGGGGTTAATCGAGTTCAAAATTCTGGTAACCATAGACATATTATTATATAACTACAGGTAAGTAGATGAAATATGTTTTCTTAAACGTATTTATTATTATTTGTTTTAGTTTTACTTATACCGAGATTTTAATGCATCGTATAATGCCCAGAACACAACAAACAATAATTCCATTAGATTGATTCAATATTTAAGTTATAATTGAATATTAATTTTGAAATACATTTTTATGTTTTCTTAAGCCAGAATGGCGAAACGATTTTCATATTGTTCGCATAGGAATTAAGATAGCGCCCATTCTGCTATTGAAAGTAATTTAACGATTATGTACAATAATAGGTTACGGTTTCAAGGCATATTTAATCTATAGAATTAACTTGCATAACCTTGTTAAAACTTTGTTGTCTATATCAATCAATATATAAAATATCACCGGAATTCGATGTGTCTGTACACTGAAGAAACATAATAAAAATGGAAAAGGACAAATTAGAAAAATCTAATAATAGATTGTTTAAGAAGAATCACTACATAGTATAAAACAAAGTCGCTTTCTCTGTACCTATATCTGTCCCTGTGTATGCTTAAATCTTTAAAACTACACAACGGATTTTGATGCGGTTTTTTTAATAGATAGAGTGATTGAAGAGTAAGGTTTATATGTATAATAACATCCATTAAATAGTGGAGAAATCAATAATAAATTACAGTTTCCGAAGCGAAGCGAAGGCGGGTCGCTAGTAATCTATACAATATAAATAAAATTGGAGCGTCTGTTTGTAATATTAAAATAACCGCTTTTTACTACATGCATATCAATATATATACGGTACGGTACATAGACCAAAATAACATTATTTACAAATTTTGTCTGTCTGTCTGTATGTTCCGGCTAATCTCTGGAACGGCTGGACCGATTTTGACGAGACTTTCATTGATAGATTGCTGATGACATAAGGAGTAACTTAAACTAGCTTCGCCCCACGACGTCATCCGCGTTACGACAATAACCGCGAGTAACATCGCGGGACTCAACTAATAATAATAAAATTTAATGCTTCCGAAGCGAAGCGAGGGCGGGTCGCTAGTATGATTTATCAGCTATTGTCAGAATACTATATGATGTTTGTTTGTTCGAAATTTTATAGCAAATAATATTATAAATATAAAAGTAGGTCTGTTACGTTTTCATGTCCAAACCTCTGAGACCGTTCTGACGAAATTTGAGGTGGAAAGGATCCGAACTCTGGGAAAACATGTAAGCTACTGTTCATAACACTACTGAGCGCGGGTATCCACGCGAAATAAAGTGGTCCGCGCAGGTGATGTTACCAAAAACTTTAATACTTGACAAAAATATTACAGTCGCGAGCAATCGAGAATATTTTGTCTAGGATTCTATAGGACTTGAAATATGAACTTATGTTTTTTTTTTATTGCCCTTGTAGGCTGACGAGCATACGGCCCTGATGGTGAGTGGTTACGTAGCTTATAGACGTCAGCAATGCCAGGGACAGAGCTAATCCTCTGCCTAAAAGTACAAGTGCCAAGTTATGACCAATAGAGTCTCTTGAAGGGAATATCAGTGGACCCTTCACTCATTTTATATGCCAATAAAACACTTGTACACGAGCTATGAATCATAATGAACACTTGAACAGTCTCCGTCTAACAACAAGCTAAAGTCAATAAAGGGTTTTATATCAGAGGGGACCTCAATTTTACTAAGTAATGAATGTACTTTCATACGAATTGTTAATATTTTATATCGATCTCAATAATGGAATTGAAATCGATTGGAGTCGTAGAATCTAATGTGTGTGTTTTAATTAGTAGGTGCCATGTCTTTCCGCGCGTTTTTTTTCCCTTACCTATGCAGATATCCTGGAGAGGCTATATCAGCGTTACCCTAGCGTATAGATGAGCTCTCGGGGCTCAAACCAGAGGTGTTGCTTACACTGGTCCTAGCAAGAGCAGTGCTTCGCAGAATCTACCGCCGGATCGGAAACGCGACCCAATGAGTAGATCCGGCGGGTCCGCAGTATTATCATCACATGAAGCCTGGTACTGGTGATAGGACCTCTTGTGAGTCCGCGCTGGTAGGTACCACCACCCTGCGTATTTCTGCCGTGAAGCGTTTCGGTTTGAAGGGTGGGGCAGCCGTTGTAACTATACTGAGACCTTAGAACTTATATTTCAAGGTGGGTGGCGCATTTACGTTGTAGATGTCCATGGACTCCAGTAACCACTTAACACCAGGTGGGCTCTGAGCTCGTCGACCTATCTAAGCAATAAAAAAAAAGCATGAAATACCCACCGAAAATACTCGTAGCAGAGAACGCAAAAAAAACGACATAGCGGTTAAGCCAATTTGTTTCGTCGATAAAATATATTTTCGCATCTAAAGGATACATTACAGATTCTACACGGTACATTTTAATGAGCATAAAAACTTTGGTTGACGTTCACTTTATTCCCGCCCTTTTCACCCTCTGTGACAAAACGCCGCCATATTGCGCAGGCACCGCGTTACCCCGAGTGCCTGTTACGAATATTCCTCGTTTTCTAATAAATAAAAAATACGAATTCACTCTTAATTCAACTGCGTTTGGGTTCAATTTGTAAAGTTTTATTATTATTGACCCAATCAATAGGGTATGTTTGTAAATTGCGTTTACATTTACGTAATTATTAACGGTAGATAGAACAGATATTTTATGAATTAGTGGAACCGAAAACAAAATGTATGTACCTAACCTATACATACTTTAGTAAATTAGTATTTTTAATAGTATTTCAACAAAGATAATATAAAAAAAGCGAATACTTTTTTATTTTTTTATTTCTTGTTCTTGTATTTTTTATTCATGCATCAAAGTTGTGTTTAGATAATATCCATTAAATACTGAAATGTGTCTATGGGATAGACTGGCGCACTGGACAACTCATTCGCTCATTGGCAATTCTATTCTATCAGCCCACAGGCGTCCACTACTAGATACAGGTCTCCCCAAGCCTCACCATAAAGATCGGTCCTTTTCACTCGCAACGAAAAATTAAAATTCAAGTAGGTACCTAACTATTATTTGTTATGGCGATTAAAACGAACATTGTTAAAATCATTTATTTTTAATGATTTTATTATTTACCGCCGCCCAAATTGTAAAAAAAGGTCGAATTCCCAAAAGCATTGTTAAAAAGCCGTCCCATGTTTCGAACCGGAAGGCACGAGTTAAAAATAAACAGGATGGTGGTACCTACCTTCCAATACATACAACTATAATAGTAATGTTGAGATCGATATTAATCATTACAAAATTAACTTCTTCAACGTTCATACAACTTTAGTCACTTTTCGTGTGTACAGTGTTTTTGTTACAAAATAATAAATATTTTCGCGAATTAATATGACAATTTCGAGTAATGCTCGTCGACTTTGAACTGGAAAAGAAAATCAACGAAACATAAAAGCTGCTAAGTCGAGTGTCATGAAAATCGTGAATACCGTTGACCTTTCAGGAATGCTCGTGACCCCGTGTTAATAACCTCAGCCAAACCGAAGGTAATAATAATATTGCTTCAACGAAAACATCACCCTTGACTTCAATATTTTTTTACCGCTTAGATGGGTGGACGAGCTCACAGCCCACCTGATGTTAAGTGGTTACTGGAGCCCATAGACATCTACAACGTAAATGCGCGACCCACCTTGAGATATAAGTTGTAAGGTCTCAAGTATAGTTACAACGGCTGCTCCGCCCTTCAAACCGAAACGCATTACTGCTTAACGGCAGAAATAAGCAGGATGGTGGTACCCACCCGCGCGGACTCACAAGAGGTCCTACCACCAGAAAAACCAATGAATTAGTAAACCAGTAAATTGCAACTTAGGATACATAATCTATTAGAATTAAAAAGTTATTCTATTCATTGTGCAAAAATTATCTACAGAACTGTTGAAAATATGTAGACTTGGTATGGTAGGTTTTTTTAAAAAGCGTAGGTAAAAAAAAAAAAATGCACAGATTTACGGGGAACTCAGCGCTACAAGCGTTCTGTCCTAAAACCTTTTTATTGCTTACTTTGCTTCGATAGGCGGACGAGCTCACGGCTCACCTATTGTTAAGTGGTTATCGGAGCCCATAGACATCAGCAAAATAAATTTGAACTGCCGACCACCTTGAGACAAGACTGCCCCACAATTCAAACCGAAACGCATTACTGTCTTACGGCAAACATAGGCAGGGTGGCGGTATCCGATGGCCAGTCGTGCGATTATAGCCATTGATGATGAGATGGTTCATAACTATTTGAATTGCGCAATAGCGCGGTGCCTCTCATAGACACAGCCCACTGAGTTTCTCACCGGATTTTCTCAGCGGGTCGCGTTTCCGATCCGGTGGTAGATTCTGCGAAGCATTGCTCTTGCTAGGGCCAGTGTTAGCAACACTCCCGGTTAGAGCCCCGTAAGCTCAACTACTCGTCAAGCAGAAGCTGAAATAGCATCTCAAGGCTATCAGCATAGGTAGGGGAAAAAAAGCGGCGCCGACAACTATGCGGAGCGCATAGTTTAATTATGTCGCAATCAATATCGCTTCTATGCAAGCAATAACTATGTCATCCGTTTTGCTGATTTCACTTAAACCTTTGTTGTTATTAAAATAATAAAATGGCACAACTCACACGGTCTTCTGACCCCAAACTAAGATACCCTATACTATGCGAACCACAGACTGACATACATACGTATAAAGAAAAACTTTTATCATTTAAAACCTTTAAAATTCTTTAGTTTTAAATAAAGATTTTTCTTTAACGGTATCACTCACACGTCTGTCATTCAGTGAAGAGAGTAGTTGAGTTTTGCATAATTTACATGACAAGACTGTTTAAACTATTAATTTAATTTAGAATGTGGGCTTTAAATGTTTTTTTAATTATTATTTTTAACATAAATCGCAATTAAGTATTTTATTGTTTACCCATTCATTCTGAAGTACCTATTCCATATGATTAAATACGTTTAAATACACACATAGATATTGAAAACCCTAAAAATAAATCTGTTCATTGCACGAATGTTTGCCCGTTGTGGGAATAGAACCCACGACCCTCCACCCAGATGTCCTAAGCGCCAACTACTTCGCCACCGAATTAGTCATAATTGCACCGATTTATTGACGTATCTATATTAAAATCATTACGATGTCGTCTTAGTATTGAGCGCTTAGCGGAGTCTTTTTTGGAGTTTTTTTATCTTTGGCCGAATAATATATCCAAGGATGAAAAGCTATTTGGTTTAAGCGACATTTGTCTTTGTAATTAAAGGTCTGTTTTATTGTTAACATCAGCGGTTCGATGTTTTTAATTGAGCTTCAATTAAGTTTACCCCGTACTAAATAGCTGAAAAAGTTTTTTTGACCCAATTTTTCCAAATTTTAAACTTTAAATGGCTCTCCTGTTAAGTTAGAAATAGTGTCTACATAATATAATAAATAATATAATTTGACGAAGCATGTTGCGGATAATAACATGTACTTTTGGGTTAGAAATATTGTGTTCTTTTTTTTATAATAAATATAAATGATGTCTATTAAATAACGCTCGCGAAATATACGCTACTATTTTTAGAATAAAATTTCCGTAAAATACGAGATTGATTGTACTCACTCAATTTGAAGGGTGCCCGTGTTGAGTGACAATACGGTGGACACCTGTCGGCAATTTTATAGGGCTGTACGACATAGTATAGAAGGTATTGATTGTACAAATAATATATTTTATTTGTTTGTACAAAAATTAAACAAGCTGACAAGTGATCGTATAAATAATGCTACTTATACCATTCTATTGAAGGCATTTAATGTCTCATCATGTTCGTCCACGTGTCGGGAGTACTATCTGTTATCTAGAAGATTGCACAAAGTGGGAATGAGTTGCTCGCTCCGGGCATTTCAATATTGTAGTAATTGTTACGTTATAATACTCATTGTAAAAAAATCATATTTAAAAAAAAAACTAAAATTAAAAAATAAATACTTAATAATTTCATATTTAAAAAAAAAAAAAAGCACATGCCCGCTGAATTTCTTGCCAATTCTTCTCAGGACGGAGGCTAGTTCTTGTGAATTGGCGGTAGTTCTTTTGACCTTCGACAAGTATGTACTTTCATTTATGTTGAATATTTCTTTTTTGATTTGATTTGATTTGATTATACAAATCAGTGTTTTTTTTTATTTTGATTGCCCTCGTAGGCGGACGAGCATACGGCCAACCTGATGGTGAGTGGTTACCGTCGCCCATGGACTTCAGCAATGCCAGGGCCAGAGCCAAGACGCTACCTACCGTAAAAACTAAATAAATAAAAATAAACACGAAATTCTGCGACTTGAAATCTGTAGTAGAGTTAAATAAATACAACAGCATAATTCAATATTCGTTTATTACAACAACAAAAAAAAACATTATTCAAATTACAAAAACACAGTAATTTCTATATTATTAAAATACAAAAATCTGAACACCTCAATATTACGAGTCTAATACAAAAATTCATTGCGTCATTCCCGAAATTATTTAGGAAAACGAATTTTAACTAACGCGACTGAAAAGAACGAACCCTTCTCTCTCCGGATCTAGTCTTCATAAATCACTTAACCTCTTCAATCTATCTGTCTATATATATAAAAATGAATTGGAAGATTTGTTCTACTGTATCAATTGATTTATGTTGAATTATTATGATTTAATAAGATTATTGACATAATTATTGACTTAAATTCATAAATTATTTTCAATAAAAAAAAATATATCCACGCTTGAAAGGCAAACGTGACTAAGCGACAGTAACTGCTTTGTACATAAATGATAGGCAATAACCATATTCGATGCGCAAAAAAATATATATTTCTAGGTCTATTAAAATCATTTCAATCCTACAGCTAGATTCGTTAAAATAGAATTTTTTATCAGGTATATCAACTTTAAATTAGTCTACTGTAAAGTTCACGCGTTGTCGCTTAGTCACGTTTGCCTTTCAAGCGTCGATGTTTTCATATATAAAATCATTAAAATCGATCGATGACGCTACAAGTCACTAGTTATACCTAATGTTACTGATCTAAATGCTTCAAGAACCAAAGGGCGGCGTTGATAAGATTGTCCATCTCAACAAGCGGCGACGATAACGAATGATTGTCGTCGTACAGGTAGACTCTGAAATGAAAACGTTGACGAGTCTACAACCTCGTCGCGTGACGGAGGGGGATGGGGGAGGGACCACCACCACAAGTTCCAGCTTGAAGGGTGGGGCAGCCGTTACGTAATGCAACTGCGATGTCACAAGACAAGACATCACTGGTGGTAGGACCTCTTGTGAGTCCGCGCGGGTAGGTGCCACCGCCCCGGCTATTTCTGCCGTGAAGCAGTAATGCGTTTCGGTTTGAAGGACGGGGCAGCCGTTGTAACTATACTGAGACCTTAGAACTTATATTTCAAGGTGGGTGGCGCATTAACGTTGTAGATGTCTATGGGCTCCAGTAACCACTCAACACACCTGGCTGTGAACTCGTCCACCCATCTAAGCAATCATCGTTGTGATGTCCATGGACAACTATTCAACACAGAGCCGAGTCTCATCCATAAAGTACAATAAGTAGCGCTACCGACCTGGTCGCAACACCATTGGCCTTGAGCCTCCTCGCGTACTCCAGCCCCTGGTAGTGGGGGACGCGCTTGTCCGCAGAGCCCAGCATGAGGGCCGTCGGGGCCTTCACCTTGTGAGCGTGGACCAGAGGCGAGCACCGGCGCATCGCCAGCAGCTGCTCCTCGGAAGGTGGACCCTCCTCCGTGAACGGGAAACCGGCTTCCACCGCACACCTATTCACGTATTTATCCAAACAATCTAATACTTCTTTACTGCATTAACTTTTACTAGGCAGCCATGTTTAAATCGTGTACAGATTATAAAATATCCACAGACTATATAATGTCACGCCCGTTGACCAAACGATGAAACAAGTACGTCCTTAATTAGGCCAAGTAAAAATGTGGTGTGGTGTTGGACACGTCTCTTCAGAATTAAGTGGACCGCGCATCGTACCAACGTTTCGATCCTGAGAGAGCTCAACGTCAAGGAGAGACTATCGTCAACAGTCCAAATACGAATTCTCAAGTTCTTCGGGCACATCACTCGTAATGAGGACTCCATTGAGCATTGAGTCGAGGGCAAAACATCTCGCGGACGATCTCCAACGAGACGGACCGACCTCATAAAATCTGAGACTCTCTGCAACATTAACGATTGCTCTCACTCTGCGAAACACCGTGCCACATCGCGTCGCATCGTGAGAGCATCGGTATCGCAGGATCCGACCGATGCATGACCACGACCACTTTGTCAAGAGTGTACGAATAGAACGAAAATGTGAAGTCATTGACCGGAGACTTACCCGTCCAAATTATCAGCGTAATGTCCTTTAGTCGCCAGGTCTATGAGTGGGTTCCTCATGACGGTAGCTCTAAACAGATCCGGGAAGCGTCCCGCTAGGTGGGCAACCACGAGCCCGCCGTAACTTCCTCCCTTCAAGAAAACCGTCCCGCTCAATCGTGCGTCTTTCTCTAATACGGTCTCTAGAGCGAGATGACAATCTCTGACGTCATAGTTTCCTACGTTCGATATGAGAGAAGCGACGCTCGCTTCTCCCGAGCCGGTCGAGCCGCGGTAGTTAACAAGGAGCGTCGCCATACCTATCAACACAGGTAAAGTCATGAACGATGCACAATCTTTTAGGTAACGTTACTTATATATATATATATCGATTTAGTCATGATTCGAAATCACTGAGCAATATCGGTTACGTTATCTATTTAAAGGAGTTTGTACGTTTTTCTGCTAGGGTTGCGCGTGCTAAGTTACAAGTGCGTGCGCGTTAAGCGTGATACCGAAATACGCAAAGCCGGTATTCGCTACTGAAGCAGAGGAACTTATGGTAATTCGTTTACTATTTTAATTCAGCTCAAAGGAACAAGTTTTCGCGTCAACGGCCCTCGTCGGTATTACGAATGTGACACTATATAACATCGATATAAACACAGCTGTCTAGTATAGTAAGAACGGGAATGTTTTTATTAATCATATTGCATGTCACCGACGGTCTCTGAAATAATTTTGAATATAGTCTAATTTTATTGTCAATATATTATTGCTATATTAGTATATGTGAGAAAGAGAATGTGCAATTTCGCCACATTAAATGTTCACGAAGTGAAATAGCTAAGTAAGCAAATAACACTTTGAAGAGTTAAATAAATTTTACAAATTAATCGATTAACGTTTTTTTTTATTAGTAAATTCAGTGACAAATCAATTACGTTTTACAATAAGTCATCAGAATTTTAATAAATGATAATCGACCTTGACATATTATATACCAGCGACAACGAATCCTTTAAGATGAGGGCGAATCAAAGAAAATACTTTTCAGTATGCCGATAGCTGGTCCGGTAGGCAGCGGCTTAGTTGTAGTACCCCTGGCATTGTCCATGACGGTAACCACTTACCATTAGCTGGGCCGTAAGCTCAGCTGTCTACATGGGGCTGAAAAGCATAGAAGGCATTGGAAATCAACTATTCAAGCACAGTTCCACTACCATGCGCGACACGAACACTCATGTAACGGATCCCGGCTGACTCACCAATCAGCGATGTCCGTGGAGTTGAACATGCTGGCGACGTCTATGACCGGGTTGCGGCTGACGACCACCTTGAACAGATCCGGGTACTGCCCGCTGAGGTGCGCCACCAGGAAGCCCCCGTGGGAGCCGCCCATCAGACACAATTTACTCTCGTCCAGACCGAACCTGGCCACGGCCGTCTCCGTGGCCAGCTTACAGTCTTTCACGTCTGCGTCGCCCACGCGCTTCGGCAGGAACGCCACAGACGCCTCCCCTGCCCCAGTGGACCCTCGATAATTGACGTGCAGTATGGCGAAACCTAAAATAATTTACAAATTTTTTTTATTGCTCTTGTAAGCAAACGACCATACGGCCTATCTGATGGTGAGTGGTTACGTCGCCCATGGACTTCAGCAATGCCAGGGGCAGAGCCAAACCACTGCGTAACGTTAAAGTCGATAAAGCTCTAATATCACACGGGTGGCGGCTTGAAGGGCGGGGCAACCGTTATAACTATACTCAGACCTTATATCTCAAGATGGGTGGCGCATTTACGTTGAATGGGCTCCAGTAACCACTTAATACCAGGTATTCGTACGTACGTAAGCTCGTTGAACCATCTAAGCAATTTTTTTTAATTGCTTAGATGGGTGGACGAGCTCACAGCCCACCTGGTGTTAAGTGGTTACTGGAGCCCATAGACATCTACAATGTAAATGAGCCTTGAGATAAAAGTTGTAAGGTATCAATATAGTTACAACGGCTGCCCCGCCCTTAAAACCGAAACGCATTACTGCTTCATGGCAAAAATAGACGGGGTGGTGGTACCTACCCGTGCGGACTCAGAAGAGGTGCATGGCATCAGTAGCTATAAATATTTTATGAACAGATATGAGTAGAAGGGTTATTTTGATAATATCCTGAAAAGCACCCCACGATTTTTTACAATAAAATAATTTTTTCTTACACTATTTTTAATTCAAATTTATTAAAATTTATTTTTAATTTTTTAGTCGAATTTTCTATAAAAGTGTATTTTGTTAGTTTTTTTAAATTATTATTTATTTTTCATTTTTTAGTTGAATTTCATTTCTGCAACAGTTTTTTTTTTCATTTTTTTATTATTATTGAATTGTCATCGGTCCTTAATAAGTATACCAAATTTCTGTTAATCTGACGTTTTGAAGGGGGTCAAAATCATGTTCAAAGATTCCGTTACTAACATACATACGTCTGAAGCTAATATAAGCGTATTAAAAGTAACTTAACCCGGGTGAAACGTCAGGGCACGTTTGGTTTATATATTAATCGTGTTCACGACTGGAGGGAAACCGAAAAAAATATTCTTTTGAATTTATAAATGTTTCGACTAGTTTACTACATAAGTATAAACAGGATAATTACAAAAGAATTTTAAGACTATATGAAATGTGTTAAGAGAAATGAATTAGTTGGTCACATTGAAACCAAAGATAAAGAAATAATTTAGGAAAAAACAAACAGATATTGCTCAGCAATTAATGGGCAGATATTCAAAATTAGGTTTTTCAATATTCGGTTTTTTTATTCGTCTGCTTTATTGTCCGTTGCGGTATCACGTTAAACCAGTGAATCGATTTTTGATCGATTCGATCGATTGTTTTCAATCAGGCGTTGTCCATCGGCTACAGTCGCCCGCACGCTGACAGCGCCACCTGGCAACGTGGGAGCGACCCCGGGCAGTGGACCGGGAATTTGTGAATAAGTCTTTAATAACTAGCTTCCACCACACAAATTGCGCACACGTGGATTATAGTATTCGATCTATCAATAAATACGATCTAGAAATTATGAAGTAATCATTTTCGAGGGATATTTTAGATTCAGAATACAAATGTCTGTAATCCCGGTTACACTCAATGCCAGAGTCAGATTTGGATAACTTTATATTCGACAAATAAACAATATTGGGTCGATTATAATAACCTTAAATGATAACACCTAATGATCTCTCAACACTAGTCCGCAGCATCTGTTCACGACTTAACCTAACCTAATCAATCTTAAAAAGGAGAAGGGAGATCAGTAATACAGGTCGTTGAGGCTAGTACAGACTTCAGCTCTTTCAAAGGCTTACAAAATTAATTATAAGGTTAATTTTCATTTGTATTTGTACTATACCTTTAAGAGAGAAATAAATAAATTATTATTATTATTATTTCACTCACCCAGGTCATTGAAGAAGGCCGCTTCAAACGAGTAGCTGTTTGTAAAGTTGGAGTGAGGTCCGCCGTGGGGCCACACCAGCAGGGGCAGCTTGGAGCCGCCCTGCACGCTCGGGGAGAGGTATATCGCCGAGAACGACTCTGTGAGATTGAACAATATTGAGCACTAGTATATGAGCTTGAGTATATTAGAAATCGCCGTGGCCTAAAGGATAAGATGTCCGGAGCATTCGTATGTAGTGATGCACCGGTGTTCGAATCCCGCAGGCGGGTACCAATTTTTCTAATGAAATACGTACTTAACAAATGTTCACGATTGACTTCCACGGTGAAGGAATAACATCGTGTAATAAAAATCGAACGCGAATAATTATAATTTGCGTAATTACTGGTGGTAGGACCTCTTGTGAGTCCGCGAGGTTGGTACCACCACCTCATTTATTCCTACCGTGAAGCAGTAAATCATTTCGGTTTGAAGGGCGGGGCAGCCGTTGTAACTATACTTGAGACCTTAGAACTTATATCTCAAGGTGGATGGCGCATTTACGTCGTAGATGTCTATGGGCTCCAGGAACCACTTAACCCCGGATGTAGTGTGAGCTGTTGCCTGGCGGGGGGCTCCACTTACTGACAGGGTCCGCGCAGTCCGCGTGCTCGAGCTGCAGGTAGGTGACCTCGGAGCGGGCCAGGCCGGCGGGGACCTCCGGCTGTGACGTCACCGGCATCCACTCTACCTCCGCCTCCGAGCCCCGCGCCGGCAGTCTGGCTACGTACAGCTGCACAACACAATAATTAATTCTCTGTATTATAACGTAAGGTTCTCATTCGTAGTCAATGGAATTTGGTTGTGTATTTTTTTAAGGGATTTTAGGACCTGGTAACTAAGACTTTTAAGTCATGTCTTATTTTAACTTATATTCTAATTTTATGAAAAAATGATAATATGGAGTGAAGTCGATTAATTTGAGACATTAATTAACTGGGATGAAATTAAATTAAATGAGAAACGATGGTCATTTACTGAGATTTTTTTCAGTGGACTTTTTGGAGGATACCGAGAAGTTACGTCCAGCGGCTTTGTTTCATTTTCCCACATTTGTGCACTTTCACAGCTATTAAACAGTATAACGCGCACATCCCTATTTGTTCTACTCGTGGGTTTTGGAGGGGCATGCATGCGGGCACAGCGGCAGAGACGTCGCCAGCCAAAACCACGAAGCTTCAAGAAACAGTCAGTCGATATAGCACCAACGAACTATACCTTACATCGTTATACTTTATAAAATTATACACCTTAAACTGGGATAGTTTTAATAATTCGTTATAACAGTCAATAAACCGCCGTCATTACACACTGATGGTAGGACCTCTTGCGAGTTCGCACGGATAGGTACCACCACCCTGCCTATTACTGCCGTGAAGCAGTAATGCGTTTCGGTTTGAAGGGTGGGGCAGCCGTTGTAACTATACTGAGATCTTAGAACTTATATCTCAAAGTGGGTGGCACATTTTCGTAATAGATGTCTATGAGCTCCAGTAACCACTTAATACCAGGTGGACTGTGAACTCGTCCAACCGCCTAAGCAATAAAAAAATAAATAAATAGAGTCGATCCTGTCGATCTATCGACGGTACGTGTTTTAAGTGTTAGATTACACCAAAATCGTACGTTCCATGTGGCGGCAGCCATCACAGAACAGTTTGGGAGGCTTAAACGACAAAGGGAAGATCTTCCACCGGGCGGGTGATATTGCTCGGTAGACCGACGGTCCCAATGTTGTTGTTCGGAACTTGTATATATGTGAGCTTATCTTGAAAATGTCGTTAGCGAGATTCAGGCATCTGTCAAATATCTTGTGTTCTGTGATGAAGTGCGAAAGCTGCAATTGTTCCGTCGCAGGTCACCAGTTTGGGAGGCTTAAACGACAAAGCGGTAGGCAGCGGCCTGGTTCTGCCCCTGACATTGCTGAAGTCCATGGGCGACGGTAACCACTCACCATCAGGTGGGCCGTATGCTCGTCTGTCTACAAGGGAAATAAAAAAAAAAGACAAAGGGAAGATCTTCCACCGAGCGGGTGATATATCCTATATGTGGGTTATTGTGTGCGTGTGTAGGAGCTGCGACCCGCCTGGCTGGGGCTGGTGAGGCTGGAGTGCGCGGCCAGTATGACGTCATCGTGCACGTCCAGCACGCTCGTCGACCCCGCCGCTCGACGGATTGAAACGTCCACCATCCCGCCGCTCTCTGGTAACAACATACAAACATTACTGTGCCATTACAGATAGATTGAAATCGTAATCAACAATGAATATTATGTAGATTTATCTTTAACTAGTGTGACCCCGCGGTAGTCGAAATTCGACTATAATTAATTGAAATTATAAGTTTGTACATTATTATGATTCTATTGTCAAAGACTATTAAAATTTATTATACTTGTATAATCACAGATTTCGCCAAGATTACACTACAGACAAATAATATTAAAGATTAGTCTATTCTCAATCTGATCACAGATTATAAGCAATTACAAGTTTGACAATATATTTTTATTTATTATATTTTTTTTCCCTATCTATGCTGATAACCTTGAGAGGCTATTTCAGCTTCTCCTTGACGTGTAGGTGAGTTCACAGGACTCAAACCGGAGTGTTGTTAACACTGGCCCTAGCAAGAGCAGTGCTTCGCTGAATCTACCATCGGATCGGAAAGGAGACCCCCTAAGAAGATCCAACTAGAAACTCAGTGAGTGGAATTTTTATTTATTTATCCTGAATAAAATTGTATCTATTCATCAAATTTATATTATCTATGACATCCTAATGACAGTGACCATAGTAGACATCTGTGTGTGTGTGTGGCGTGGCGTGGCGTGGCGTGGCGTGGCGTGGCGTGGCGTGGCGAGGCGTGGCGTGGCGTGGCGTGGCGTAGCATGGGCACGAACGAATCATTTAAAAAATGTATCAATGATCACTCTCACCGATATCAACAACATAACTCCTAATTTCGTTCTTTTGGGGCGTTGAAAACACGATTCTCTTCCCGTCCTTGCTGAAGCACCGCGCGGGCAGACTCTGCGAGTAGATGCCGTGGAAGTCCCGACCGTCGTCCGTCCTGGTCACCGTCTGCACCAGGTCCACTATGACGGTCAGCGGCGCCTCCTGCGACACGGACATTGCTAAGTGGCGGCTGGGTATGCCAGCGCCACCTGCCGGCGACTATCTCTTGCATTAAATTAAAACCTGTCAGTCACAACATTAAGTTTAAGCCGCTTAACAACGCCTACAATCTGTTGACTGAACTTGGTACTATTTAACGACATGTTCTAAAAATATTTTGCAAAAATTAAAATAGACGTCATTATAGTGTAATCGACACTTCGATATCGTCGCACGTCGTTGTCCACAGCTCCCCGCCGCTCAGTGCTAAGTGGAAAAGTAATCGTAGCACTGTTGTAGGTTTGCCGTTTGCAGCGATTTTACCCTGAAGCGTAATGTCAAAATTATTACACTCACCGCGATGTTACCAGTGACCAGTTGGTGTCCGGCGTGGTGCGGCCCGCGGGCGACCCGCTGCAGCCACACGGGCGCACCGCGGGGGGACAGCCGCGCCGCCCGCACCGACATGCCCTCCGGCGACAGTCTGCCTGGTACCGAGGTCACATAATCCCATCATTAACCGGCTACTTAAATGGTGTTACGCCGGTAATAATAACGCCATCTATCGCCGAATGGCCGAACGAATATCAAAGGATCTAGTAACATCTAGAACGTTCGAGAAATACAACGCCATCTATTGTCAGATAGTGGAAACACAAATCGAAGGTACTCGACTTGTTAGGAACGTTCTCGATGATTCTAGGGACTTCGTATCGCCTATAAAAGCGTTGCAGAGATGGCACGCAGTCAGTCGGTAATCGGAACTGCTCGAAGCGAAACAGCGAGCGGATCACCTGAAGCGAAGCGGAAGAAGCGAACTACGAGTTGTAAAGTATTCTGTGTTTTAAGTGATAAATATGTCGTGGATAGCGACTTTTGGTGGTATTAAGACGTTGTTTTGATTATTATTTTATATGATAAAATCTTGTTTTGATAAATATCACAAAAATGTGGGGTGGACGCCGTAACGCCGGAGTATAAAATGGCGGTGCGTGGACAGAGTCGTCTCAGTCCGTATCAGTCAGCCAGTCTGTTAGTATCTCGGTCAGTCTCAGGCAGTCAGTCTGTCAGTCAGTCGCAGGCAGTCAGTCAGTCGGTCTGTTAGAACGAAACTGTCGGTTTACCCTGTCATTGTGAAAATTATTTGTTGAGAGTTTCAATAATTATATTATTCAAAAAATCTTATTGACTTTTATTGCAATAAACTGAGTTCAACCGAATACCAATGATGACGGAAACTGCCGCTCAGCCATCCCCGGGGTCGTCAAATACAATTTTAATTTATACTTCGGTAGAATTTTTATTTATTCTGAACCCCAGCGCGTAACAATAGTAAGAGTTTACTCACTCAACGCTTTATCGTCTTCCAAGGATAAAGTAAACACGTGTCCGGGTCTGTTCGTGCAGAAGATGAGGCCCAGTCGGCGCGGCTCCGTGCTCCACGCTATCCCGATAACGCTTTTGCCGTCCAACGTGAAACGTACCTTACAATAACGTTTATTGTTTACTGGTGGTAGAGCGATTAGTGTAGTAGTGGAGATAGCAATAAAGTGGATAGCAGAAAATTTTACTGGTGGTAGGACCTCTTGTGAGTCTGCACGAGTAGGTATCAGCACCCCGCCTATTTCTGCCGTGAAGCAGTAATGCGTTTCGGTTTGAAGGGTGGGGCAGCCGTTGTAACCATACTTGAGGCCTTAGAACTTATATCTCAAGATGGGTGGCGCATTTACTTTGTAGACGTTTATGGGCTCCAGTAACCACTTAACACAAGGTGGGCTGTGAGCTCGTCCACCCATCTAAGCATTACAAAAAAAAGGTATCACACAGCACATCCGTGACCAACACCAGCAGGCACTCGCGACTTACACAATTACAGCCACGAATCGAACAAACTTAAGTCACATTAAGGTAGATAATCGCATAAATTGAAATCAGGTTCATAAGTCCTTACTTGTCCCGGACACCAGTCTTCGGGGAGGCCGTCCAATACGGTGAAGCTCTCGCTCTCGATCTTACAGACGACGATGACTGAGGCGTGCTTCCCGACCAGCTGCTCGCCCCAGTCCTGCCGGTATATGTACTCCTCGCCCTGCAATGTGATCAGTGTGTTTTAGTGCCCACGAAAACAGTATAACAAAGACACGTAATACTATTGTGGCAGGTAGCCATCATACAACGCAAGTTAATTGACAGATGCCTGAATCTCACTTACGACATTTTCAAGAAAAAGCCCATATATACAAGTTCCGAACAACAACATTCGAACCGTCGGTCTACCCAGCAATATCATCCGCTCGGTGGAAGATCTTCCCTTTGTCGTATATCTCTCCAAACTACGTATGGTAATAGTGCTGTGTGGGCACAGAGCGAGGACGCAGTAGTTGTTTACTAATGATAAGTCTGGATTTTACTAGCGCACTTTATGTTGGGACTTCCTTTTTCTTTCCACGCCATCTGTTGACACTATAATAAAAACTACGCGTGTGAAAACGGCGCGAAGAGTGTGCGTGTAAAAAAAACTAAAACACGGTGCCAGTGCAAAAACGATAAAATTGTGATCTGAAAACTCTCGACAATGAGAAAATAAAAAAGCGCATCAACGAACTACGGAGTGAGTTCTAAAACTTATTCTTTTCTCAGTCCTAAACATATTTAAATTAAAAACACTTTAATATAAACAATCACGTACAAATGTTCTATGTTATTGTTATATGTTAATGTTGTAATTAATAAACTTGCTAAGATGCTCGGTCGCATTACACCGAACAAGTGCGTTGCAGGTACAAGTGACGCCATCTGTCGTTAAATAGCAAAAACGGATATTGCAACAATGGGAACAGCTCTTCAAAATTCCGAGACATTGTGGACATGGTCGCCGTGAGGAGAGTTCTCTTCGAAGCGATACGACGGACGGATCACCCGAAGTCTCTTTTTTTTTTTTCGGGCCGGGGTCCGAACCTCCTACGAGGACCCCGCGCCTTGTATTTTATCACGTTAGGTGGCAACCTTATCAAAACCACAAAGAACTAATAATAACACTCTTCGTTGTAATGAACTTTTTATCAACATGACATTCATAGACTTCATTTTTTTTTTTTGCTATATAGGCTCTATATATATGAGCATACAGCCCAGCTGACCGTGATCGATTACCTTCGCTCGCGGACGTCAGCAATGTTACGGCCACAGCCCTTGAAGAATAGGTTTTATGAAAAGCGAAAAGTAATCGAGAAATATATCATACTAGCTGACTCGTCAGACTTCGTAGTGCCTCAATCGATAAATAAAAGACCTAAACTTTTGTATAAAATAAACTTAAAACAAACAAAATAAATTCGTCCGACGAGGGACACATAAAAGGAAAAACAACATTGTTATTTTTATTTAATTCCCAGCATTTTCATATTTATCTACCTTTTAAACCTTCTTTGGACTTCCACAAATAATTCAAGACCAAAATTATCCAAATCGGTCCAGCCGTTCTCAAGTTTTAGCGAGACTAACGAACAGCAATTCATTTTTATATGTATAGATAGATAGATAGGTTTAGTACCGTGTCAGAATAGATAGAAGTAGACGTATTATATTTAAAACTAATCATGTTCAAGACATTGTCAAAACTATATTAAAAGAGACAAGGATTGTTCGAGAATAAATTTTAAAAACTATGCATTCAATGCAGCATCACGACAAGAATTCCAAAGAAATAATGGTAATATTAAAAGGTACCTTTCTCGGCGTCTCTTTACTGTCGGACTTTGGTGTTTCGGCGGGCTTCCTCACGATGTAAGGCTCTGCTTTGGCCAGTTTCTTTTCCGCGACGTAAACGATAGCGCTTTCATCCTGCGACCAGTTCAGGCAGCCAAATTCGGCTGGAAACATTGTTAAGCTATTGCATAGCTTCTATCGAGGGCCTTGAGCGCGGCGACTGAATCAAGAAATTCCGTAACGAAAATAACCTGACACCCCCACTACGCCTACTATGTAGCTCGCGTTCAACAAATTCACACGTTGCCCTGGTGTAGTGTTTGTGAATAAGCGCGCGGCGTGACGTCGCACTGCATGAGCATCATGAAAACTCTGCCCATTTCTCTCTCACGCGGTCTAGCTTATGAGTGTGAAGGGGACAGTTAATGTTTTGCTTTTGTCAATGTTTATAAATATAGCGTGGTCTTATTTTTATTATTGTTTTAATATTAAATTATTATTATCTAATTGTAATTTCATAAGTTGATAAAAAATGCTATGCAATAGCTTTACCGCGGCAGTCCCCGGGTGCCACACGTCTTTTTTTTATTTATTTCTTTGTGGCAACCTTGACACGTAAGATCGTAGTGCCTGTTATGCCACCAATGTCCGGCCATCCCACGGAGTTTCTCGCCGGATCTTCTCAGGGGGTCGCGTTTCCGATCCGGCAGTAGATTCTGCGAAGCACTGCTCTTGGTAGGGCCAGTGTTAGCAACACTCCAGTTTGAGCCCCGCGAGCTCACCTACACGTTAGCACCTACACATAGGTAGGAAAAAAAGTCCGGCAACTTCGACTTTTATTTATTTATTACATTGTTGGGTGGACGAGCTGACGGCCCACCTAATGTTAAATGGTTACCGGAGCCCATAGACATCTACAACGCAAATGCCGCCACCCACCTTGAAATATGAGTCCTAAGGTCTCAGTATAGTGACAACGGCTGCCCCACCCTACAAACCGAAACGCATTACTGCTTCTCGGCAGAAACAGGCAGTGTTGTGGTACCTACCTGCCTCATTCATGAAGAGTATTTGTATGCTCTAAATATTACAATGCTTATGTTTGCCACACACCTTGAGACATGAGATAGTAGTCACAATTGTAAACAGCTTTCCTTAAAAAAGCACCGCATGACTGCTACGCGGGAAAAATAGCCAGCAGTATTGCACCAAAGCGCAGCATCTGAATACCGAATTGTTAGCATTGCTTCATATTCGAGCCCGGTTACCATAAATGAGGCCGTCAGCGCAAAAGTGGTCTAACCCACAATTTTTCATAATCATGCTTATATGCAATATTCCAATTTAAATAAAATATAATAAATTTTGATGCAAAACCGGCCTATCCATAGTTTCACCCATAGATAACAGATGGCTTTGTAAACATTATTTTTGCGCGTATTTTTGTTGCCTACTAAAATTAAATTCATAAAAACTTAAACCTCATTGCTCCATAATAACTATATTAGGCCACTTTTGCGGTGACGACCTCAAATATACCATTAAATTTATAGGCAAAAAACCTCACAATCAGCGTAAACATCCCCGTGCAAATCCAGCGCATTGAGGTCGATACAGTGCGCAAGATGGTTCTTGCTCCACACTTCGAGGTACTGCTTCTTCAGGTCCTTCTGATTCCTCTCCTCCCTGATGACCGCTCGGTAGGTCTCATTGGGGGAAACGGCCGAGAGGAGCCTAAAACCAGACAGCCGATTGTCTTTTGCCTTTTAGCACTCTAAAGCCCCGAGTTGTAATTACTTTTATATTCGGGCGTCGCCCCCCCATCTACCAAGCATGTCATAGCTAATGAAACACACACTGGGAAAATACTTGAAACGAAATTAAGCTCTCAATTTAGACTTTATATATTTTTCAATTATAAAATGTTAAGGAGCTATTTAAACCCCTATTTTGAAACATTCTTTATTGGTGCTCCACCTGTATTGGTCTTAGGAGTGATGTTACATAGCCTTCCTCAATAAATGAGCTATCTAAGACTGAAATAATTTTTCAAATCCGACCATTCCTGAGATTAGCGTTTCAAACAAACTCTTCAACTTTATAATATTAAGTATAGATTTAAATAAATAGATGATGACCGGTTTTTTTTATAACGCCATCTTGTTGTGTCTTTAAAGCGATTAGTTGCCCTCAATTAAGAAAAATAGTATTATTATTCGCCAATAGATGTCGGGAAGAGTTGATTATTGAAAACACGAATAAAACAACATTTTCTGAAAATAAATCGTAGCCAGATCGATTTATCGCCCCCGAAATCCCTGTCTACTAAATTTTATGAAAATCGTTGGAGCCGTTTCCAAGATTCAGATTATATACATATATATTAATATACAAGAATTGCTCGTTTAAAGGTATAAAATAAAACTTACTCATTACTGATATCCGTGCCAAAGCCGCAATCGGCTATGACCTTTAAGCTGTCATTCAATATATAGCTTGAGACGAATCTAGTGTTCTTGCCTCTGTCCGTGCTCCGGACCGTCCATTTGACGGTGACCCTCGAAGTGTCCCTGCTCAAGTGCGCGCCCACGATCGACGGAACTTTCGAGAAGTTCTTGTATAATCTTATCACGTTTTCGAACTGAAATTGTTAATAAGAACAGAAACTGAAAGATATTAAGGGTATAATTATTGTAATGCCGATACGACTAACTTTTTTTTCTACCTAAGCCTTGAGAGATTATGTCAGCGTAACCCTAACGTGTAGGTGAGCTCTCGCGGCTCAAGCCAGGAGACGTTGCTGATACCGACCCTAGCAAGAGCAGTGCTTCGCAGAATCTACCACCGGATTGGAAACGCGACCCACTGGGAAGACCCGGCGAGAAACTCAGTGGGCGACGAATGTCGCTATCTGTCTAAGAAGTCTAATAAGGTAAACAAATATCGAAACACCTAGAACATTTCTTGAATGTTCTGGAACATTGTGGATAAAATTGAAACGACTGTGAAAACATGACATACAATACATAGAGAGGTTTCTTCACCTGACAAAGCTGTTGTTCCAAAGAGCGAAGTAATGCTGCAAGCAAACCAATATCTCAGGAGCTTTCAATGAACTGGAGTCTCTTGTACATAAGGTGCCCGAATTAAGATAACTCGACAAACAATATGCGACCTAAAGCAGTCGCTATAGTTATTAAATTAGGAGGAACATTCGAGCGCTCCATGGCACTTGGTTAAGGCTAGTCTTTCGATCATATTGGTCAAGAAATTTTGTGTCATGCTCACGAGATTTACACAGTAAGGCAATCAAATCGTAAAAATAAATTAAACTCACAAAATTTTATTTAATGAATGACTTTTAGTAATTTCTGGTATCTATCGTGTTACAGTCCAATTAAGAGTAGGGCAAAATCAAATTTTACAGCCGGTCTAATAGATGAGCTTGTAATAAATGATAATTCTAGTGTTGATACTTATGATGTTGTCAATTACAATACAAGTTCTAAGATTATATAAATGACTAAAAATACAAACCTCTTTTGACATTTTGATAAATGCTAATTACGGACTTCTCTTAAAATATTTGTTGCGCTATACAGAGAGCAACGATGACAATAAAATGAAGCAGTGGGAACTGAAAAAAAAAAAAAGATTTTATAAGTTTTCTTCAGTATTGGTGATAGCGCTTAGATTAGTACTTAGATCTAGTGATCCCTTGACTTTACCTTATTACATTCGTTTTTGATTATTTAAAATTTTCAGGCAAAAATATTCATACATAAAACATGTTCACGATTGACTTCCACGGTGAAGGAATAACATATGTATATGAGTCGACTATTATCAAAGCCGGCAATGTGACTTTTGGACAATTATTGGTAAATCAGAAAAACGAATTATTGACTTTGTATTCCATTGGCAGTCACAAAACTCTTCTGAACGACATCTTAGATAAATAACAGGTTAAGTATTAACCTTTATTTAATGCAGTTTTTGAACCGTATTCTTTGAAGGAGACGATTATATTCAAATCAATCTGTATTGACATATCAATAAAAATTTTTGTCCAAATGCACAGATTGCCACCTTTGATAATAGACGACTCATATATAAAAAGCTATTCGTTAGTCTCCCTGAAACTCGAGAACGGCTGGACCGATTTGGCTAATTTTGGTCTTGAATTATTTGTGGAAGTCCAGAGAAAGTTTAAAATGTAGATAAATATGAAAATGCTCTCAATTAAATAACAATTTTGGTTTCCCTTTGATGTGTCCCACGTCGGACGGATTCCTTTTTTTTTGTTTGAAGTTTATTTTATACAAAAGTTTAGCTCTTATTTCTCGATTGAGGCACTACGAAGTCTGCCGGGTCAGCTAGTCGTGTAATAAAAATCAAACCCGCATTACACACACAAACCTAATGTAACCCGCAAACATTATAATTAGCGTAATTTACTGCTGGTAGAACCTCTTGTGAGTCGGCGCGGGTAGGTACCACCACACTACCTGTTTCTGCCGTGAAGCAGTAATGCGTTTTGGTTTGAAGGGTGGAAGGGCCCACATCGTGGCTATACAAAAATTAACCCTTAAGCCCAAGAAGTAACCCTTTAGACACCATAATACGAATGATGATTATGTGCAAAACATACGAGATAAAAGTGTCAACTCTAATTATATAAAAGCGTTAGTTAAATATTTTAATTGTATTAATTAAAAAAAAATTGTAATGTGTTGCTTTGTGTTCTAAGACATTTCATTTTCAAGTCTATAATGCTGATTGCTATGTGACATAGATAAGCGCTATCAGTATTTTATGATTGAAACTAAGTAGTACAGTCAAACCTGGGTAAGTGAGAACTGGATAAGTGAGAAAACTCTATAAGTGAGAGTAATAGCCAAAACCCGTCATTTTGAGCTCCCAAAACCTCTATTAGCGAGAAACAGAAACCTCTGTAAGAGAGAGTCGTTTTTCCCTCATGGACCTCCGTAAGTGAGACTGCTACTTATCTATACCTCTATAAGCGACAGTCAAGCTTTATTTATTTATATTATTTAGGAGGAATAAATGACAAAACAAATTACAAATTTAACATCTTCTATTTTATGACTCATTCTTAACTCTGGTGGGACTTCCATTGTTTTTGTATTGTTTTCTGGTCAATATTGAACCTATTCTATTTCCTGGAACTATATAACGTTGTTATTTTATTGCATTCTTTTCGAATGGACACGTGTGCCTGTGTACTGTCTTGTTTGTCGGACTTACTCAGTTTATCGTTAATCGATTGCGAAGGAAAGTTCTGTTCTGCATCATGTAAAAACGGAAAATTAAAGTACTGTCATTAAGTGATAAAATTAAAATAGTGAATGCGTTTGAATCAGGAAAATCGCGAAACGAAATTCAGAGGGAGCATTAGCGAGAAACTCGGGTTAGTGAGAAACCTCTATAAGCGAGAATGAGATTGGGCTGCCTTGAACTCTCGCTTATCCAGGTTTGACTGTATATACATCTACAATATTATACTTTGTCTGAATCTTTTATGTTTGATGTCACATCTGAAGTCGTCGTGGCCTAAAGGATAGGACGTCCGGCGCATTCGTATATAGCGATGCAACGGTGTTCGAATCCCGCAGGCGGGTACCAATTTTTCTAATTAAATACGTACTTAACAATTGACGATTGACTTCCACGATGAAGGAATAACATCGTGTAATAAAAATCAAACCCGCAAAATTATAATTTGCGTAATTACTGGTGGTAGGACATCTTGTGAGTCCGCACGGGTAGGTACCACCCCCCGCCTATTTCTGCCGTGAAGCAGTAATGCGTTTCGCTTCTGAGACGTGGACCCTCATTTGAAATGTGGTGTTGGCGCAAAATGTTGGGTATATCATGGACGCGCCGAACAAATGTATCAATTCTCTCGTAGCTATACGTCAAGACCTGTCTATCTACAATCTGTATGCAGCGTCTCCTCAAGTACTTCGAACACGTGGCCCGACGAAATCCTGACAACTTGGAAAAACTAATAGTTGTAGACCATGTGGAAGGAAAGAGATGTCGAGGAAGATCGCCAACCAGGTGGACGGACATTGTAAAGGAGGACATAAATACCAGCATCCCGGGCGCCATTAAACAGGCTGAATGCAGGCAACATTGCTTCCAATGTTGCCTCTTCTTCAAGCTGGAGCAGAAACTAGACCAACGTGGTCAAGACTATCAGTAATGAGGAAGCGACGAAGAAGAAGAATAAGATATTTGGAGTTGTGTGTCCAGGTTGGAATTATTGTTTTCTTATAATTTATATTTTCCTAGTACTCAATACACAGGAGCAAGATCTAGCTTGATCCATTCTACTTGATGTTTTACTTTTAATTATGTTTCAAATATAATGAACGTTTTGATTTCATACACATTAAAAAATACCTCCAAACCCTAAGTTAAAACTCCAAAATACTAGGAACTTATCTAATACCACTTACCTTTTCTTACTTACAAAAACATGTATATTTTGTTTGTAAGTATCTAATTGAACTTTAAAGGTAATTAATCTAAAAAAATTACAATGTAATGGATATTATTTTCAATTAGACATTTAAAATAAACTAATTGCAAATATGTATATCTGTGACTTGCAATTTTGATAATAAATTAAAATTTTTACTTTACTTTTAAAAACTATTATACATATTCATGGTTTAATATCATTATGATCATACAAGCACTGAGCTAATATTGTGTTTACAGTGATAATAACATTTAATACTAAAATGACTTGTTTCAATTATAATTTAAAATACTAAAAATGTAAGACCTCCACGAGAACTATAAATTTTTACCTTAAAATGTTTATTTGTAAATATTACATATGTGGAACAATTCGCACACAATTAAAAACAAATAGTAATACAGTAGTAGTAGTAGTTTTATTTTTCCAAATGGAAAGGCAAAGGTATCACACCATACAGCCTAGTCTTTTATAGATTTTTTTTATAGATTTTTTTTATGAAATATGATATTATGAAATGAAATGAAGCTGATTAATTTAATATGAAACATGGCATGGCATGAAACGAATTGAAATGAGATGAGATGATAATTATGATATGGGTATTTTTATGAAAAATTATGAAATGGAGTGAAATGAAGAATTTGAGACATTAATCAATTGGGATGAAATTAAATTAAATTAAATGAAATGATATGGGATGAAATATAATCTCATTAAAATGGTGGTCATTTACTGAGATTTTTTCAGTGGACTTTTTAGAGGATCCCGAAAAGCTACGTCCAGCGGCTTTGTTTTATTTTCCCACATTTGTGCACTTTCATAGATATTAAACAGTTAATAAACCACCGTTATTATACATTTAAACCTGAAGAAACTCTAAATAGACAAAATAAAACAAATCACACAACTTCACTCTTCGCGTTCTCGTCAATTCCCATTTGCCCATTGACAAATGTGGGAAAATGAAATAAAACCGCTGAATGTGGCTTGTCGGAATCTTCCAAAAACTTAACTGAAAAAATCTCAGTAAATAACCACTATTTTACAGAAATTATATTTTATCCTATCTCGTTTCATTTAATTCCATCTCAATTAATGTCACAAGTTAATCAGTTTCATATCAGTGTGATAGAAGGCTTCTTTTTAATTAAAAAATTTAACTCCTACGGTACTGTATTTTTCATTTATGTCAGATAATGCGAAGCAATGCGAGGACTTTTTGGCAGGAACGCGAGTAGCGAAGTTGTGTGAATTGTTTTATTTTGTTTTAGTGTTTCTTCGGGTTTAAGTGTGTAATAACGTTGGTTTATTAATTGTGTTGTATCTGTGAAAGTGCACAAATGTGGAAAATGAAACAAAGCCGCTGGACGTAGCTTCTCGGGATCCTCCAAAAAGTCTTAATAAATTTCTCTATTTTACTGAGATTATATTTATATAATCTCATCTCATTTTATTTCATTCAATTTATTGCCAATTGATAATTGTTCCAAATTAATCAACTTTATTTATTAATTTCACTTCATATTATAATTTTTAGGCTGTATGGTTAGACACCTTTGTGTTTCCAGTTGGAAAAATAGAACTACTACTACCTACTGTCAGTAGTGTCACTGTCAGTTAATGCCCGGTGGAAAAGCATAGACCTATATAGTAGGGACACGACATATTGTTCTATACGTACAATTGCTTATATAAATAGCACCCATTTTGAAGGCACACACATAAACATATATCTATCTCGTTCTTACTCAGCACTTTAACTCACAGGAAAATAATATAACAGTATTTCAGTGCGTACATAAAATGAAACATGAATATACGTAAATGTCTCCGTCTCCGTCTAATGAGGCCGAAAATCCGCCATGTTTAGCGCGCCAAATGTCATTGTCACGTCAGTTCGGCCGTCTGTTTTGGGTTGTACATTATTTATTGACTTTGATATCGATTTAATATGACTGCTTATATAAAATTTCTAATTTTATCATGCTTAAAACATACAAAAATAATAATTAAAACATATTTTATAGGATCTCAAGAAAGTCGATGCCGCAAAACTATTATCTATATATATTTAAATTCATTATGGAGCCCTCATCCGAAACATAGATTATACACTTAATATATTTGAATCCGAAATATCGGACACCATTTTTCGGTCGGAATCTATTGATCATGACACTAATCATAAATACCTCTTTAAAATATGTCATCAAAACTTAGACATTCTGTTTAGATATTTCGGGAAAAAGGCTACCGACAAAATCTCTTCGGAACTATTTAAATAAAATAGTTTTATTCCGCAGTGAGTAAAACACTATTGTAAATTCGTTAAATATTTAATAATTAAGTGATTTTAGAGAGGAAATCACAAGGAATGACGTTTGTAATTAATGAATAAATGTTCTGTAGGTGTTTTTTTTTTCACGCGGTCCCTTGATAAGTTTAAAATTTGAATCACTCTCAAGTGAAAGTGATTCAAATAGTGCGGCGCACCTTCCTTGAGGTGCGCTGCGGTAGTGTGTTACGGACTTTAGAGTCAACAAAACAATTAAAATAGATTGTAATATCTAAGGAAAACACGTACTCAAAATACAATAACATTTAGCATGCTAGAAACGGGCAGATGGCACTGTACTACGCCATATCTTTATGTTTTACGACAAACGACAGCTTTATAAAATCAGTATAGCATCTTTTAAAAATCATCATATCGTTTACTTGGCAAATTCGAAGGACGAACTTGTCTTAGATTTCACACATCTAAATCATATCATATTTGCACATAACAATATACCTACTTACTTCCCATTAAAGTATAAATTCTACAAATAAATAATACTCAACAATATTTAAAATAAAATGAGCAAAGAACGTTTATCGATAAAACCTGATAACATTGAAATCTTTTGTACAGCACTAAAACCGCCATGTTTTGTGGCCAGATGACGTCACAGTGGCACGAAATTTTGGTTGACGTTTCATTTCCATAGGTTTCCTACTTCAGTGTGGAAAAGCAATAGGTTTCCTACTTCATTGAAAAGCAAAGATTGGAGAAGTGAGGCTGTAATCATTCGTTCAAAAAGTTTAAAGCTTAGATTGTTGATATGTAAATTTTCTATAAAAGTTTGTGTTTTTTTAATTATGCTGTGAAATGACAAAAAAAATCAACTAATTACAGCATTGAAGGCATATCCGTTGTCGAGAAAACAATGGCACAATTAGTAAGATTCAGTTTGTTTTGAATTGAAATTTCTCAGAAATGCTTTGAAGAGTCTCGAATAAAAATGTGTAGTTTTACTAGATCTCGATTTGATTAAAACTGGGATCATAATGGCTCAATTTTTTTTTTATATTGAAATATTTCTTAACAACTAACATTCATATAATTTCGACTTTTTCGATGATACTTGATTTCAACACAAACAAGATTATCCAGCTTAAAAATTAATTTAAATCGCTTATGGTCTTTTCCTTGGTCTGCGTACTGCCCAAGAATTTTAAATTCCATTTTTTTTTATTGCCTGACGAGCATACGGCCCACCTGATGGTAAGTGGTCACCGTCGATCATGGACGTCAGCAATGCCAGGGGCAGAGCCAAGCCGCTGCCTACCATAATAGAAGAAAGAATTAAGAAAAGAATGTTCATGGAAGGTTGTTAATTCTAAAGCGAAGGCAAATATCATCTCTGGTAACACACTGAGTGTGTTTCTTGGTAGGAATGTAGTCTGCTCTGGTAGGAGATGTATCACAGTAAAAATCATTTTTCTAAGAATTCCTTATGGAATCCAAATAGAGCAAACCAATTCTCCAAACTCAAATCCTCATCTGTAGGTCCAGAGGACCTAAAAGATTCATAAGTGAATGCTCCTCTTCTGAATGGAGTCAATAATAACATTCTCTGTTATTATTGACTCCATTCATATCAATCACACAAGGTCACCTGGCCCCAATTCAAAATGCCTGTCTATGGAAACCAGACTGATATACATACTTATATGTGTTTTCTATTAATATTTTAAACACCCAGATAAGGAGTAAAGAAGCTTGTTTGTCATATGAATGTTTCTTTGATGTGGGAATCAAACCCAAAATTGTTGACTTAGCAGTCACGGGTATTAACTATTGCAACACTGAGTCAGTCTTACAATGAAAATTGCAATTAAATTATTAAATTTGTCATAATTAAATTATTCAAAATGAAATCTGAGTGTTCTACAATAATTTTGATTGAAATAGCAATCTGATGTCTTAACATGTTGTTTTAATGTGATGTGTTATTCCCATTGTTGTATTGAGTTTTGATAACCCCATGGTGGTAATACCACCTTATTCCCTTGGTCTGTGATCATCTATTAAGGTAGTTCAATAGAAATGTTTTTTGAATCCTTTAATATATTTTGTAATGGTTCTGTATATTTGAAGTTGTCGTGGCCTAAAGGATAAGACGTCCGGTGCATTCGTGTTGAGCGATGCACCGATGTTTGAATCTCAAGCGGGTACCAATTTTTAACAGTAACAACTTAACACCAGGTGGGCTGTGAGCTCATCTAACCATCTAAGCAACAACAAAAAAAAATATGTTTATCAGTCTGTGGTACCCATAACACAGGTAATCCTTAATTGGGACCGGATGAGCGTGCATGATTTGTTCTCAATTATCATTGATCTTATTACAAAGTTAAGTACTATATTGAATGAGCCCTAATAGGGAACACTCGGTGATGTACAAAAAACCTCATTTGACCTCCTTTTAAATAAATGTTACAGCTCCGCGAAGTTAAGGTAGTGTTAGATCGTGTAAAAATCTACAGTTGCGACCAATGTCCACTCGGATTCCTCGACCAGACTGATTGGTGTTTGCACCAAACAAAATTCTCGCATATCAAAGAGTAAGTAATGGTCACGTGATTTACTTTTAATTTAGGCTAAAACAATTGTGAACCCGGTCTCACAGCTCTGCCTCCATTGCAGGGCTACTAATCAAAGCCCCAAATGGCAATTTAGTTGAGATCACAAGAGGTCCTACCACTTTACTGGTGGTAGGACCTCTTGTGAGACCGCGCGGGTAGGTACCACCGCCCTGCCTATTTCTGCCGTGAAGCAGTAATGCGTTTCGGTTTGACGGGTAGGGCGGCCGTTGTAACTATACTAAGATCTTAGAAGTTATATCTCAAGGTGGGTGGTGCATTTACGTTGTTGATGTCTATGGGTTCCAGTAACCACTTAACACCAAGTGGGCTGTGAGCTCGTCCACCCATCTAAGCAATAAAATCGAGGCCATCAAATATATTTTATACTATAGCCCAGTGATTATCAAACTTATTTCTTTTACCGCCCCCTTTGAAAATCAATTACTTTTCAGCGCCCCCCATTTTTTATACACCCCTAAAACTTTAAAACCACAATTTCATTAATTTAATTAATAAATGTTGTATTAATTTTAGTAAATGTAGTATTACCACATAGTACATAATTATGTATTTGTAGATACTATTATTGTTTCTTCATATTATTATATGTCCGTACATTGCTACAGAGCGCGTATTTACAAATTTGCAAAGTAAAAATGAATTCTTCTCATCAATATGTTTGTTTAAATTCAGAATCACCAAAATAAATTGCTAGTTCACTATACTATTACTATGCAAATTTATTAGAACGAAACTATTTTTGTTCAATATCTTTCTCATTAATATAAGATTCTCATCATAGGATAATTAAAATTTTATATTTCGACTAGTAAATAATACTACTAACAATAATCACTTATTAAACTACGAATAAGCTAAACCTGGAAATCGTAGAGGATTTCATTTATCTGGGCTCCGTCACAGCTAGTAATGGATCCTCCGAAAAGGACCTCAGAAGGCGAATCAGAATGGCAAAGGGAGCTATGTCCCAAATGGACCGTGCTTGGGTGGCATTTTTCTCTACGGCGCAGAGACTTGGACTCTCAAGAAAGCCGACCGCCAACGCATCGACGCGTTTGAGATGTGGTGCTAAAGGAAAATGCTCGGGATTCGTTGGACAGAACACAGAACCAACGAATCCATTCTTACCGAGCTCAAGATTCCAATGCGCCTCCGCACTACATGCGCGCGGAGGAGTTTAGAGATCTTTGGACATATCGCCAGAAAGAGCGGTGACAATCTGGAAAAGCTGCTGGTAACAGGCAAGGTATGCGGGAGAGGGCACAGAGGCAGAAATCCAATGCGCTGGTCGGACCAAATACGCTGCACTCTCAATACTTCAGTCCACGGTGCTATCCATACAGCCGAGGACAGGCAGGAATGTCGCAAGATGATGCAGGAGAAAGTTATTAGAGGTGGCCACGACCCTCAGCACTGAGGATTATCGACGCAAGAAGGAAGGAAACTACGAAAAATAAATTAATATCATTTCGTATTATAGATAAATATGGGCAATTTTTCATAGAGTTTTAGTTTATAATTTAGAACTGGTTCAAATAAAAACCGCCGCCTAAGTCAGCGTTTTTATTATTTGTAATAATTAATATCTGTACTAATATTATAAAGAGGAAATATTTGTTTGTTTGTATTAAATAGGCTCCGAAACTACTAAGCCGATTTGAAAATTCTTTCACTGTTTGGAAGCTTCACTATTCCCGAGTGACATAGACTATAATCTTTTTTTAAAAAAAATTGGGTATCCTTACTAAAACTCCAATAATTTAACCCAAGGTGTAAAAAAAAATTACCTAAAATATTCTTTACGTCGCGTGCCCTACGAAAACTGTTGATGATAGAATAAAATAATGTACTACGATTTTGTAAAAAGTCGTAGTACACAGGAGTTTTGCTGAGTTTGCTCGTCTTGCCACCGCTCGGGTGGCGCATGTCGTCGGCAAAATCAGGAAATTGGGCCTCGACGTGACACTCAGTAAATCCGAGGCCATGTGGTTCCACAGGCCGCGGAGAGTGCCACCTATCGATGCCCATATCGTGGTTGGAGGCGTCCGTATCGGGTCGGGGTGCAGTTGAAGTACCTCGGCCTCATTCTGGACAGTTGGACCTTCCGTGTTCACTTTCAGAACCTGGTTCCTCGTTTGTTGGGGGTGGCCGGCACGTTAAGCCGGCTTCTTTCTAACATCGGGGGGCATGACCAGGTGACGCGCCTTATACGAGGCGCCCGTGTGGGGCCAGTCACTGGCCGTAGGGGTAGCGAAGTTGCTGCAACGGCCGCAACGCACCATCGCAGTCAGGATCATCCGTGGTTATCGCACCATCTCTTTTGAGGCGGCGTGTGTACTGGCTGGGACCCCGCCTTAGGTCCTAGAGGCGGAGGCGCCCGCCGCTGACTATCAGTGGTGGGCTAACCTTCGTGCCCGGGGCGTGGCGCGTCCCAGCCTCAGTGTGATCAGAGTGCGGAGGGCCCAATCTCGGCGGTCCGTGCTGGAGTCATGGTCCAGGCGGCTGGCCGATCCTTCGGCTAGTTGTACGATCGTCGAATCGTGACAGAGGACGCCTCACTTTCCGGCTCACGCAGGTACTCACTGGGCATGGTTGCTTCGGTGAGTTCCTGCACCGGATCGGAGCCGAGCCGACGGCAGAGTGCCACCATTGTGGTTGCGGCTTGGACACGGCAGAGCATACGCTCGTCGCCTGCCCCGCATGGGAGGGGGTGACGGCGTGTCCTCGTCGCAAAAATAGGAAGCGACTTGTCGTTGCCGAGTGTTCTGGCATCGATGCTCGGCGACGACGAATCGTGGAAGGCGATGCTCGACTTCTGCGAGTGCACCATCTCGCAAAAAGGAGGCGGCGGGGCGCGTGAGAGATGCACAGGCCCGCCGCCGTCGAGCGGGGTCCAGGGAGGCGGATCTCGCCGAAGCCCTTTTTTGTTTTTGTTTTTTTGTGTTTCGGGTCTCCCTCACATGTCGACCTGGGGACCGGTGAAGGGGGCCTAAGAAGACGACGTGCAAGCTGCTCTGCACACGTTTTACGCATGAGCATCCGGGTGATGGAAGGCCGGCTATCCTCAACCCACGCTGGTTCTGACCCAGCGGGGTATTCTGTAGGATAGACCATTCTAACCGGCGCCATCTAAGCGGGTTTCGGACAGCCTGCCGACCGAGAGGGCTGGTGGTCGTGGTGCCGACGGCCGCCAGTCCGGCGTCCCGAGGGGGAGGGTGATGGGAGAGATGTGCTCCGCACTAAACGCTTCACTTTCCCCCCTTTGCCTTTTCATGAGCTCTGTCTCATGCGAGGTTTGGATGCTGGTTGTTGAGCGACAGGAGGTTTTAGTCGGTTCGACTCCGACATGCCCCGCCCTCCATCCCCAGTGAAGAGCGGAAGTCCGGCGATTTCCTCCTGACAAAAAAAAACGTGTGGCACTCGGGAACTGCGGCGGTAAAGCTATTGCATAGCATTTTTTATCAACTTATGACATTATAATTAGACAATGATAATTTAATATTAAAACAATAATAAAACAAGACCACGCTATATNTATTATATAGAAATAAAATAGTAAACAATGTTTACAATAAGTGAGCTGTTTAGGCTTACTATACTATTTGACATTGGACGGTAATGGGTAAATTAAGTAAATGAAATTACAAATTTTACAGCGCCCCCCTAACCCACATCAACGCCCCCCATTTTTTCCTGGGCCCCTTAACGCCCCCCTCTAGGTTTCAAACGCCCCCAGGGGGGCGTTATCGCCCACTTTGAGAAAGACTGCTATAGCCTAATGAAATTTGTTGATTACAATATCTTTACAAGCAAATTTTCATTGAACGTAACTATATAATAAGATAATTTGTTATGAGTCACTGTTGCAGTAAGCTTACAATTTCTAAGGAAAGAACTCACGTCTAAAGCATAATAAATTCTGTCATAATAAATACGTTTTAAATTATTTAAAGCTCAATCTGCGCCTATGTCGGTGCTCAAATCACGTAGGCAACATTTAAAAAAATCGTAAGCTCTGATTTGTCATCTAGCTTATTTATGCTGTAAAACAGTCATAGTCAGTTTGAAGCGTGGAACAGCTATCCTATACTATTGAAACTTGAACTTCATGTGTCAAGTCGGTGGCGGAAGTCACAAATTATGATGACTACGGGATGCGTTCACGCATCTAAACAAATGCAATTAATAATTGAAATTTCGAAAAGGGCACATGTCGCATATTTTGTCAAATACGTTTTTTCTTAAACATGTAGTTATGAGGCTTACCTACACCTATTTTATAATAATTCCAGTAATTTTCAATTGCTAATTAACACTAAAATATGTCTCAAAAGTTAATATTTTATTTTACACTGCTTTAGAAAATAATCAGTTTTTTTCATTTCCTGAACATTTTACATTTTCAGAGATGTGCCCTTTTCGAAATTGCATATTCAATAATAACAGTCCACTGATAAAAGCACCCATTTCAGATTATTAGTGATAACGGAAAGATCCTTGTTATTCGTGACGCGTGTTTTTTTTATTATTATTATTTTCAGAAAAGAAGAAAACTTGTCTAACAATAACAACAAGTACATTAAAGTCCATCAGTGTCCCGATTGTAATAAAAAATTCGTTCATGAGAGCACGTTGAAGGCGCACTCGTTCGTTCATGAACCTATCCCTTATGTCTGTCACTGCGGCGTTGCATACTACAAGAGTTGCGACCTGAAGGATCACAAGAAACTCGTACATTCCGACGAAATGTCAATTGAAAGTATTGAAGAAGCCATTGAACCTGTCAAAACGAAAACCTCCAAACCGAAAATGAAATCTGTGCAAATCAAGAAATTAAAAAATAAAAAAATTCGAGGAAGGAATTCAAAGCCGGGTAGTCAAAAGATAAAACATAATTTTGATAAAAAACTAAACGACAATCTAGTTTATTCATGTCCGATTTGTAATAAAACGTTTAAAAATAAAGGGAATGTTGTAAAACACAAAGTAACGCACTCCGAAGTGAAACCGTACGGGTGTGAACTGTGTGATGCACGATTCACGCAAAAAGGATCCTTAAATATACATATGAAAAGGCACGCCGGTATCAAAGATGAGAAATGTCAATATTGCGGCAAAGAATTTCTTGGACGCCACGCGAGAATCAATCACGAATATACACACACGAAAGTCAAACCTTATGAATGTAAACATTGCGGGAAGGCATTCGCCGATCGTTCGGCCACGATACGCCACGAGCGGATCCACACGCGCGATATGAAATACAAATGTGAATATTGCAGTAAGGGTTTCACGGACGCGAGCGGCGTCATAAGACATCGCCTTATGCACAAAGGAAAGAAGGATTTCGCCTGTCGAATTTGTGATAAAACATTTTACACCACAACGGATCTACGAATCCATCTTTTATCGCATACGGCAGTGAAAGATTACCAGTGCGATTATTGCAAGAATTATTTCACGAAAAAATGCAACCTCATTAATCACATCAGAACAATACATTATGGCCAAAAGTTGTATCGATGCACGGAATGTTTTAAAAACTTTTCGGGAACCACCAACATGATTAAGCACAAATGTCCGAATTCGGTGAATAAAAATCTCATAAAATGCGAACTGTGCGGTCTGCGAACCAGAGACATAAGTAAACACACAAAAAGCTTTCACACTAAAAACCACTTCTATCTTTGTGATAACTGTCCTAACCAATATACGTGGAAATGGGACTTAATACGCCACATGCTTAAGCAACATATAAAGATCAAATGCAAAAAATGCTTAAGCTATTTCTCAAGCAATTCCGATCTGAAGAGACATAATCGTATAGGATGTTTCAAATGCAAAAAATGTGATAAAAATCTTGAAAGTGAGCAAACTTATAAGTCTCATATAAAAAAACATGCAAAAAAGGAGGAGTTTGCCAAATACTCGTGCACTAAATGTGATTGTGCTTTTTCGCTACCCGCATCGCTGACCAACCATTACCGGCTAAAACATCTCACCGACCCAGCTTATTACGAATGCGATCATTGCAAAAAAGTATTTAATACAAAATTACTTTTAGTTTCGCACGTGAAGGACAGTCACATGAACGCTTTGTACTGTGATGTGTGTAAAAAGAAGTTTTATTCGGAAACTGAATTCAGGCAACACAAACGTATAGTCTGTCAATCTCCGGGGAATTGGTTTTGCGAGATTTGCGACAAAACGTTCTCCAGAAGGAAGGGCTTGTCGTCTCATTTGTTGTTTCATTCGTCAACAGCTTCATACGAATGCGACTATTGCGGGAAGAAATTTAAACTAAAAAATCTTTTGGCGATACACATCAGAAGGAAACATATAAAGGAAACCAGAAAAGTACCTAAGAAACAACCTAAAAGTCTGGTTTTCATTTTTTGAGTTTCAATTATTACATACGCTCAGTCTATTGCGAAGTATCCAAATCTTGACTGGTTTAGATTAGCAGAAAAACACAAAAATTTGTTAGTAAAAGCAGAGAAAATGGGTCCTAACTTTGGAGGCGCTCTGGGCTCGTGGAGGGACCTACTTTGGTACCTGTTATTTGTACCTCGTAAATAGAGTTCCTTGTTACTCGCTATCCGGAAGCGGGGACTTCACTCATTGTACATTTCCAGAAATTGTTTGACTTGAGTCCGTATAGCTTTGGAATCAAATCCAGGGTAGCCTGAGCACTTTGACCAAGATTTAAGAATGGTTCGCTCGCAGCGTGCCCTGAGTGGTTACCGTCCAAACATCAGCAATGCTCTTGCTTCTATTAGCTGAGATGTAATCTTGTCTGTCGCTGAAGGAGAAAGAGATGAACTAAATGAAAGCTCCGTCCAAATTAAGTCGCGCTTAAGAGGCTATTTAAGACACGCCGGTGGGTATTAATATGTAAGTTCAGAGGATCGTCTCCCAAGCATCCGAAACGGTATTGAAGTACCAACATTCATGGAAAACTAGCAATAGTAATAAATAGATTGGGTCGGTGGTGCAGTACTTAGTGGCCCTGATTGTTTGGTCGAGGGTCGTGGGTTCGACTCCCATATTGAGAAAACATTTGTGTGATGAACAGACGTGTTTGCTCTGTGTCTGGGTTTTTAATATCTATATATTTATAAATTTAATCGCACTTAAGTACATTTAGTAGGCAGCGGCTTGGCTCTGCCCCTGGCATTGCTGACGTCCATTAGCGACGGTGCCCACTTACCATCAGGTGGGCCGTATGCTCGTCTGCCTACAAAGGCAATAAAAAAATTAACTATCTCTGGTTCTCATAAGAATCCTACTTGGGGCCAGATGATCGTCAGTGCATCTCTCCTCACGGTTATTTAATAATTAGCTTTAGCAAAGATTGATACACATACTTATATACGTCTAAATATATAAATAGATAGATATTAACTAATATACCTTATACACAGATATCTAACAGCATCTAAGCTAAGAAGTGCTTGTTAGTTTTTTTTAGTCGATTACAACATTATTCAAATTCAAGGCAAGATCAATATTTTGAAATAAATAATTAAAACATGTTCCCGTGCGAGATTCCATAACGTCCCTTAATTTTTTTTTTATTACTATCACGAGACGTAGAGTTTGGAACCTATTTCGTACAAATAACACTCGCATTGATATAAGCGTATAGGCTGTGTGCTCTGTTCATCGGTAGCCAAAAAAAAAAAACTGTATTACCTACTTTTATTTTTGTAATGTTTTCATTAAAAAGTTTGGTTTCCGAAGTTTATGTGTATAGATTAATTATTATTAAATTTGTTATCAATTATGGATTCATTAAAGTTTTAATTATTTTATGATTTTATTATAATAATAATTACTTTTACGGTTCAACGTCGCGGTTAATAATTTTCTTTTCATATATAATTCCGACGTTTCAAATACTTTACAGTTTCCTAGGTCACGGATGACTCGAATGTTATTGACATGTCAATATTGTGATAACTAGTCTAGCATTTTAAATTGAAAGCGAAATCCAACCGTGAAATTAATTTTAACTATGTTTAAGATTTACGAAAACCGAAGAAAATAGTATATTTTATGATTAATGATTTATCTTGTTGATATGTGTAAGAATTGGGGCGTTTTTATTAAAATAAATCATTTTAAATGTTTTATTGTTTTATTATTGTAATTAAGTATCTGCTTCTTTTGTTTTTTATTTGCCGTGTGGGCTGACGAGTATACGGCCCCCCTGATGGTGAGTGGTTCCGTCGCCCATGGACTTCCGAAATGCCAAGGGCATAGCCAAGCCGTTGCCTGCTTGCTACGATTTATCTATTCGTTTTCTCTGATCACGTGATTTATCGATGTTAAATGTCAGTTTTCATTCATGTATTGGGTATCTACATTTTTTATTTATTTGCTTAACGGGATGGACGAACTCACAGCCCACCTGCTGGTAAGTGGTTACTGGAGCCCATAGACATCTACAACGTAAATGCGCCACCCACCTTGAGATATAAGTTCTAAGGTTTCAAGTATAGTCTTTTCTTTTTTTTAAACCTAAGCTGGGAGCCTTGAGTGACTATTTCAGCGTAACCTTAACTAGTAAGTGAGCTCACGGGTCTCCAACCTGACGACGTTGCTAACACGAACCCTAGCAAGAGCCGTGCTTCGCAGAATCTACCACCGGATCGGAAACGCGACCCACTGAGAGATCCGGCGAGAAACTCAGTGGACTGTGTCTGAGGGTTAATTTACTCGTCGAGCCCTACGTCGCAAGCGACGGATTCGACGAGAAAGTGCCAATATACAAAGAGAGTTTATATTTCTTTTTTGACCAGTCTTTAGCTCAGATTAAGTTACGTTAAGAGTTAAAACATAAGGTATGTTCAGAAGACCTGTCTGGATCGAACTTTAGGACCGGGTCTAAACTCTAAGAACTGAAAGATCGGTTCTCGATAGCGATTCACGGTGTGGTAAGAGGCTTCACCGCCCTCTCCAGAATCATATATCTATTTTTTTTCCTACCTATTAGTTGGCAGCCATAAGGGCTAATCCAGATGTGCCCGGACGCGTAGATGAGCTCACAGGCTCAACCTGATAGAATTTGCTAACACTAGCCCTAGCAAGAACAGTGCTTTTTAGAATCTATCACCGGATCGGAATCGCGAGAAACTCAGTAGGCTAATCTCTTTATTTGTTTTTCGCGTACCACTTAGTAAATAGTTTCTATTTTACGAACCTATTCATTTTTATAGACAACAAGAATGTGAATGTCGCCACCCCACCTCGAAAAATGAATTCTAAGTCTCAGTTCGCTATAACCACGCATTACGGTGTCGCGGCAAAAATATGCCGGCTTGCAGTATCAATCCGATCCTTTGCCCTTTTTCACGGTTTATATCAGACATACAACAAAGAGCAGCCTAAAATAATCAGAATTTTCTATTATTATCGCTAATGGAATAACGTGCGCCATCTGAACAGTACCGCAACTTTATTAGCGGCTGGAACCGATTCGGAGAATCCCACACGTCATTATGGATCCTCCCGATCCATTAACGGTGTTTTTAGGTCACCGTCCCCGTCGAACCCGTCGCTTGCGACGAAGGGCTCGACAAGTGATATTTTTTTTTTTCCGACCTAAGCTGGTAGCCTTGAGAGGCTATTCCAGCGTAACCTTAACTAGTAGGTGAGCTCACGGGGCTCAAACCTGACGACGTTGCTAACACGAACCCTAGCAAGAGCCGTGCTTCGCAGAATCTACCACCGGATCGGAAACGCGACCCACTGAGAAGATCCGGCGAGAAACTCAGTGGGCTGTGTCTGAGGGTTAATTTACNAATCATTTCGAGAGTTATAGTTCCGATCGCAACGGTAAACAACAAAACGCTCATCAAACAACTCCGAGTCATAAATACCCGGCATTAACCATGTCTCACTAAGACATATAATATCATTATCACATAAAATAATGTTTCTATAAAACAAATTAGTTTTACTACGTAAACCACGAACGTTCTGGTAAAAAATCTTTAAATTAGCCATTAAGGTATAATCTACGGGCATAGCCAAGCCGCTGCCTGCTTGCTACGATTTATCTATTAGTTTTCTCTGATCACGTTATTTATCGATGTTAAATGTAGGTTTTCATTCATGTTTTGGGTATCTACATTTTTTTTATTTGCTTAACGAGGTGGACGAGCTCACAGCCCACCTGGTGCTAAGTAGTTACTGGAGCCCATAGACATCTACAAGGTAAATGCGCCACTCACCATTAGATATAAGTTCTAAGGTCTCAGTTAGCGTTTACAATTGTATAATAAAAAGACAGCTTTTTTTTCACTCTTTAATCGTTGATAGTATTTGGGCCATTCCAAATACGCGCGGACCGGTGGGTGAGCTTACGGGCTCAACCTGAGAGAATTGCTAACACTGACTAGCAAGAGCAGCTTGGCTAACCCCGCAGCTTTTACGGTGCTCTCAAAAGTACCAGTCATGTGCTCCTCGCTCATACAGTTGATTCCTGCGATCTTTATTAGGATATTGTTAAGCCTCTCACAAGATGGCATCGAGTTAAAACATAAGGTATATTCAGAAGACTTGTTTGGATCGAAGTTTATGACCGGGTCTGGACTCTAAAAACTGAAAGATCCGTTCTCGGTTACGGTTCACGGTGTGGTAAGAGGCTTCACCGCCCTCTCCAGAATCGTAGATCTATTTTTTTTTCTACCTATTCGCTGGCAGCCATAAGGGCTAATCCAGATGCGCCCGGACGCGTAGACGCTCACAGGCTCAACCTTAGAGAATTTTCTAACACTAGCCCTAGCAAGAACAGTGCTTTTTAGAATCTACCACCGGATCGGAATCGCGAGAAACTCAGTAGGCTAATCTCTTTATTTGTTTTTCGCGTACCACTTAGTAAATAGTTTCTATTTTACGAACCTATTCATTTTTATAGACAACAAGAATGTGAATGTCGCCACCCCACCTCGAAAAATGAATTCTAAGTCTCAGTTCGCTATAACCACGCATTACGGTGTCGCGGCAAAAATATGCCGGCTTGCGGTATCAATCCGATCCTTTGCCCTTTTTCACGGCTTATATCAGACATACAACAAAGAGCAGCCTAAAATAATCAGAATTTTCTATTATTATCGCTAATGGAATAACGTGCGCCATCTGAACAGCACCGCAACTTTATTAGCGGCTGGAACCGATTCGGAGAATCCCACACGTCATTATGGATCCTCCCGATCCATTAACGGTGTTTTTAGGTACCACAAGCACCGGTCACCGTCCTCGTCGAACCCGTCGCTTGCGATGAAGGGCTCGACGAATGAATTAACTCATAAACACAGCCCACTGAGTTTCTCGCCGGATCTTCTCAGTGGGTCGCGTTTTCGATCCGGTGGTAGATTCTGCGAAGCACTGCTCTTGCCAGGGTCAGTTTTAGCAACACTCCCGGTTCGAGTCCCGTGATCTCACCTACACGTCAAGGAGAAGCTGAAATAGCCTCTCAAGGCTAGCAGCATAGGTAGGAAAAAAAAGGAGAATCCCTAACATTGCTGATGTTAGCAACTCCGATCACTGACCATCCAGTATCCTCGGTTGCCGTGGAAGGCATAAAAACCCTGTATTTTGGATATCTCGAAGACTAAGTACTTGCGTCGTTACTTACGTCTTGAATTACCTTGAGAAATTTCTAGCAAATACATAAAAAAGAAATAAGTAAGTTCTAAGTAACGCAACTGATACTTTGGCCATTTATGTTTTTCTTCAAGTGACTGTACCATTTACGAGGTCTCCGTTAGCGATCTTCTTACTCAAATTTCAAAACCCATTTTCATCCTAAAGCAACAAGTACTCGTTTTTGAAGAAAAACCATACAAGATGCTATCTTTTAAAGTCAGTTAAAAGCTGCCAATATTACATAACGAAAAAATATTAATCAATACTATCTACCAACGCCATCTTTATTTATAAAACTTAATTTTAGCAACAATATAAAAAAAAAAATTGTAATCGAAATTTATTAGCACATTTCAATTATATACCTACTAATCTACTATCATTTTTCACTGTATCAAATTTTAATAGCATCTGGACGTTTGATAATTAATTACCTACGCTTAATTTGCAAATTTTATGAGACCTAAGCTCAATATACGATACCTCGACGTGTTTCATTAGAATTTATATCTTGGTTATTGAGAATAAAGTTAAAATTAGCTTGTTCTGTGGATAATACGGCAACGCGCCGCGCCGGCCGCGTCGTTCGATACGCACGGCGCGCGCGTACCGTGCGGCCGGACCCCAGTCAGTATACTCCACAACACGGGAACTTACACACACTTACAGGTCAGTAAAAAAAAGAGTCAGTAATGATAAAAAAAAATTATATGTCATTGTCAACTGAACATTAACGTCCATTGTAAACATTTAATTTGTTTTTGTTTTGCCTCGAAATTTTGAGAATACCAAAGAACACTGATTATTATATACCTATAAAATTTATTTTTCTTCTTTATCATTTTACATTGAAATTTCTTTACGTTTGGCGCAGGATTTATAACAGTGAATCAATCTTAAGTTAACGGGTAATAGGAAGTTAAATTAAATGAGAATTAAATACATAACAGATACCCAATTTATCGCCAAACCTTGTATAATAATAGGAAAATAATGACAGTATATCGAAATTATTTTTATAAATGAAGAAAACAATTATGATTTTCCCGCCCATTCAGCTTGAGACAATAATATTATTATTATACTTACCGAATCAAATTAATGATGTCCGGTTGCGTTTTCGGATGGAATCTAAACTTTCAAAAACATACTTAGTTTACATCTTAATCATCTCATATCTCATCTTAAAGGGTAAGCGTACTGGCTTCGACTAGGAACTGAACCCAGACCTTATGGCACAGAAGTGACAATAACTTATCCAGTAGACCAACGAGACAAACTTACTTTTTTATATTTTAGATTAAGTGAGACTAAGAGAACAATGAACGAACTAGATCTGATCAAAGAAGTTGAGAAACGTCCTATACTCTATGATAAATCCGTAAGCGGATTTAACAAAACGAAACTCAGAGATGATGCCTGGAAAGAGGTGCAAGAAGCTCTTAATGTTACAGGTGAGTGAAATTTATGAATACGTAGGATTTACAATACGGAATCCCTTCGGGTTTAACGATGTTAGATTAACTTGGTGTTCTTGTATGTAAATTAGAATCTAATAGTATTAAATATAGGGTGTATTTTTGTTTGCTAAACCAAATAAATCGTAATAATAATACTATTAATAGCTCACTGCTCACTTGGTTTTAAGTCCTTAGTGAAGCCCTAGACATCACCACCCAATTTGAGACAACAGATCGAATTTTCAAATGAATTGTGTAACGCCTATCCCACTTTTCTGATCGGAACGAGTCACTGTTTCGCGGCAAAAGTGGGTTGTTTGACGATAGACACCCGTGCATCACGTCCTGTTACCAAAACGGACGTATTACGCAAATTAATTTTAAAAAAAAGTGTTTGTTTTTTGAGATGTTTTTCGTGAACTTATGTTAAGTAGGTACGTATGTATTCCATTTCGCCTTATCCTTGTGACCACGACGACTTAAATTCTAGCACGCACCAGAAAACCAGAAGGTTAACAAAGATTTTTCGCGATCAAATGATATCGCATTATTATACCCATTCTGTCACTATCTTTTACGAGAATTATAAATCCCGCGCTTTCGGGTGTGCGTTTTAAGCTGTATTCTGTGTATAATAATAATGTTTAACTAGACTTTTTTACAGAATCCGAGTGCAAAAAACGCTGGAGATCTCTGCGTGACTCCTTCATAAAATTACAGCGAACTCATGGAGGTCGTACGAGGTGGCCATATCATCAGGCGATGCGTTTCCTCCTGCCGCATATAGAACCTAAAGCGGAGACCGGGTTAGTATCATAACAAATACATTCAGAATCCACTAAATTGTTATTACGACACAAACTTTAAAAATAAATTGCCTCATTTTTTACAAAAATAAGTCTTTAAAAAGAAGATACGAGTATCTTCATAAAGTTTTATGTGAAAAATGTGTGTTATATCCGAAAGTTTCAAACTTTTTTGAATTATTTCTAATGATTTAGATTGTTGATGAATTAAAAAGTTATTACAATATTTCTTTGTGAACTTCGATCAACAATAGTAACTAGATAAAGGGATACGTATAAAATTAAAGCAAAAACTGTCCGCGTGAATATATACTTATATAGCTACATTCGTTTACTAACAAACGGAGAAAAAAGTTTTGAAACACTTTTACTTTCAAACTAATAACAACTATGGCACCTAGTAACAAAGTCACAAATCTCCAAAACATTATCTAATACTTACGATCATTCGTCACATAAAACGAGCAAAGCAATAAATTACTCCTGTCACTTACCAATAAAAAGACATATTTTAACAACTTTTAATGTTAAATCAATCTTAAAGTGCAATAAATAAAGTAACTTTTCCCTAAATTGCTCTAAGAACTAACATCGTTTTGCTTTATTTATTTTTGCTTCTTGAAATGCCGATTTCTATTTACTACAGGAGGTAAGGGAGTCGCGCTTAACACTAAAATAATTTATTAATGAATTAAAGTAAAAGTTTAGTTGTTTACTTTTTATGTTTTGGAAATGTATGTTTGTTAGTATCTATACATTACTTATTATTTTATTAGCGTTACGNCACCTTGAGATATAAGTTCTAAGGTTTCAGGTGTAGTTAATAATTATCCAGCGAATGCTTGTATGTTGACAATTTCATTTTATAAAATACATTATTTTTCGCGTAAAAAATAAATAAAAATATGGTTTTAGGAGTCTTGTTTATATTTACCAACTTTTTTATAGCTTTAGTTAAGGCGACACTTATGACCCTTATTTTTAAATATATGGTAGATTAACCCCACAAATTACTCTTGTTTTCAATGATAAATAATAACATAAAATAAATTAATATACATAATAAGATAAATAATTATAATAATATTATAGTAATGAAATATGATTTAAAACAATACTTTTCAATCAATATAACATCGACGTATGATGTGGGTTTTTTAAATTTATAAATTGGCCGTGCTGATTACAATATAATAAAACCAAATTTATTTATATACTGAACTAAACTAATAACAAAACTATTATTCTATTATTAACTATTAACTATTATTATTAACTATTCACTGGTGCAAGGGCGGATCCAGGGGGGGTCATGGGGTCATGACCCCCCCCTGAGCTGGTTCCAGGACCTAGGTGGCCCACATATTGAACATAATGATTTTAGGACACAATATATTGTTGCTCCTTAATTAATTTAATATATTAAAATAACTTTGTATGATGGCAAATGTTTGGGAACGAACGCATCGAAAATTTGAATTTTACCGCGCCACACGCGCGCGCTTGTTGACTACGTAACGTCTAGCTAAGCCTAACCTCAATCGGAATCGGAACGACTAAACTTCAACATATCATAACATAGTTCTAAGTTAAAAAACTAAAATTTCTTTCTACGTTTAATGTGCTTATAAGTATTCTTAAAAATTGTTACTGTAAATTCATTAATTACAAGAAATGGTAAGTAATCAGTTTCTCATTATCCCAGTGTGTGTGTTTTAACTTAAATGTTATTGTTGTTAATGCTCATAAAATATAGTAAGCGGCACGTAAGTTGGCAAGGTTTTGGTGTAGTGGGGGTAATGTCGCGCATAGTGCACATTGCAACAAAAAAATGGTCACTTTTATTGCCCGCATATAATTTTATTTTATTTTATTAATTTTTTTATTTGCCATAATTTATTTTGAAACCTGTGTGTTTAGAAGAAAGTTAAAGAAGGAATTCGTGAAGTGTATTAGGTGTTATAAATAAAATACAATTAAAAGTTAAGAAGTTTATTTAAAAAAATATACTTAATATTAAAAATTATGTGTCGCCGTCGTCACTATCATTTTCTCATAGTGCTACCCCTTGGATTAAATTTATGGTAGCACCTGAGCTGGTGGAAGGAGTTGGCTCCTCATCGTCGACATAACGAAGAGTCGCTGTCGTCACTGGCGTAACTAATAAAACGCTCAGGGACTGAATCGACTATATGGTCATTAGTATTTGGTCCTGGCATTGCAAACAAACTTAAAACAATAACACTCGGAACAAAAACTAAATTTAAAACAATAATAACAACTTGTTACAAAAACTCAATATAAACAAAGGGTTCCTACAACTTAGTAAGCGCGTGTGTAACCGGGAGCGAACGGAACGTGGACGCGGTGCGGGAGGGGAGGGTCGACTGACTCACCAATCGCGCGCTCGGAACGGTGCTACGTCTTTCCCCGCGTCCCGCTTGACAACCAAAGAGACCTAAAAAACGACTTCTGCGAATCTAGCGACTCTTGCCAAGTTACGTGCCGGGGACTATACCTCATAGGTAGATATGTAGTTACCTACTTACTGAAAGAGTCCTGCGTGACTTATGTACCTACTTATATATATATTTTTGGACGAGAGAGATTGAAGAGCATAAGGTTACTGACCCAACCGAATAAAATCTTAGATAAATTCACACAATGAAATCAAGTGTATCGTCGTGACCACATTGATTTTAATGCTTTTAAAAATAAAGCTTTTAAATATGTACAAGTTATTATGTGTTAAGTTTTTCAAGTGTACAATAAAGAATAAATATTTTTAAGTACAGTACTTACGTACATTTATAAAATACCTACTTTTTACTTGTATCTATTGTTATCAAAATTAAATTATAAGTTCTTGACTTGACTATGACTATGTGACCCCCTCCTGGCACCAAAGCTGGATCCGCCCTTGCACTGGTGGTAGGACCTCTTGTGAGTCCGCACGGGTAGGTACCACCACCCCGCCTATTTCCACCGTGAAGCAGTAATGCGTTTCGGTTCGAAGGGTGGGGTAGCCGTTGTAACTATACTGAGACCTTAGAACTTATATCTCGAGGTGGGTGGCGCATTTACGTTGTAGATGTCTATGGGCTCCAGTAACCACTTAACACCAGGTGGGCTGTGAGCTCGTCCATCCATCTAANAGTCCGCACGGGTAGGTACCACCACCCCGCCTATTTCCACCGTGAAGCAGTAATGCGTTTCGGTTCGAAGGGTGGGGTAGCCGTTGTAACTATACTGAGACCTTAGAACTTATATCTCGAGGTGGGTGGCGCATTTACGTTGTAGATGTCTATGGGCTCCAGTAACCACTTAACACCAGGTGGGCTGTGAGCTCGTCCATCCATCTAAGCAATAAAAAAAAAATATATATTAATAAATTCACAGCCAGACACTATCGACACATCATTATACTTACCTATATTGAAAATATCGTCATTTTTTCCGCCCAAACATTCTGACAGCACATACCTACTCTTCTATCTGCCAACTAGAATTTGTATTATAATCTGAAACTTTAATATTTTAGAATAAAAAAAGAGGAGGATTCCGATCCCGAAGAAGAAGTGGCAAGACAGCGAGCTATACAGAACCTTCCAGACTTCTCATTCAACCATGACAAATACGAAGACGACGAATTTTCAGAGCCATCGCCAAAGAAACAACGTCTCAACTCCACAGATGAAGAATCATGTCAACATTGTACTAGGACGGACCCAGACGAATTATTCTTGCTGAGTTGCGCTCCGACTTTAAAACGGTTGAATTCCAAGAAAAACGCGGTAGCTAGACTCAAGATACAACAAGTGCTTTACGAAGCGGCATTCGGCAGGGAAATGGACGCGTCTTCGGCCCAAGATCACATATATGACGAGCAAGATGATTGAATGCAATCATGGATGATCGAATGAAAAAAAATCGTTATGTTTTTTATTAAAATTTTATTTTATTTTCCTCCAGGTCTCTTCTCTACCAAAGAGTACGCCTCGAATTGAGAACTTCCACAGTTTAAAAACTGCATATAAATAGTACAAACGGTATCATTATTATTGTAATAAAGAATGTTTATTAAAATATGTAGTAGCATAAGTATAATAATCTATAATATAGATGACGCTTCATACTCTGTGAATTCAGAAGTTCTCTCTTCGATTAAATATGTCTGATAGGTAAGCTAATTGTAAATTTTCAATTACATATTAGAAGACATTACTAAATTCCAAGACAATAGTACGTATATTTGTAGAAATGTTAATAACGAATTGTGAACCAATTTGATAAAAAAAGACCTAGATGAGTTATCGTACCACCTATACATATTAGGAGATTTCACATTTTAGAATTAATACATATTTAAAGTATTTAAGTAATATGTAATGAATTTAACAATAAGTAAATTTGAATATTATTAAATTAATAAGAGTTTTATGCAAACTATACTAATCTAGCGATAAACGATAAATAAATACATAAAATTTATTGAAAACCCCACGCTTCATTTTTATTGTCATTTAAAAAATTAGACGCTAATTATTTGGCAAATGTATCTTATTGAGAACAGGTGGAGCTACTGAGAACTTTATTTCGTAATCACAAGTCTCAAAATTGAAAAATTTCGTTGTACCTAAACTTATTGTTAGCAAAATAACGGCTATATATGGGATTAAATTAATGAAACTCTTTTTTCTTAAATCACTGGTAGATTCGATAAATTTGTGATTGTGGATCACGATTAAATTGATTACCGCGGCTTACGGACAGCATGGCATCATGGTATGACCAGCAGTAGCAATTCCAACAATATCCTGATCCAATTTTGAGTACATTTTATAGAAAATTCTGGGAGTATATGGTTGATACAAACAACATTGCAACTTTTTTGCTCTCCTGTTTGCAACTTTTTTTGCAGAAATTTGAGTGTCAGTTGGATTTTTGGCCAGTTTGAATGATTGTCAAGTAGCCATCATTGCAAAGAAAATATATTTCACTTCTAAATGTAGGAATCACTACTTCTAGCTAGTGTTAAACCAGAAAATCGGACAAGAAATAATTAACAATATATTAAATAGTTTTAATGTTTAATTAATCATCAATTTCAACCAATCTTCTCTTAACCTTCAATTGTGGTGGTGGTTCTGTTTTCCTCTTCACTGATTTATTATCTGTTTCTTCAAACACTTTACATCCTTCAGATTCAGTAGGTGCCAGCTTGCTTAATTCAAAATGGGAATAAACTCTAACTCGCATTTTAAGCTTAAAGCCATCATTATTTACTCCTGACATTTCAGGACCTATTTTTAGGTAGCTTATAGTCGAATAAGCAGTGAAATGAAAATCTTCTACTAAATAACCGTTTATTAATAAAAATGCTATAACATCTTCACCTAAAACACGAGGAAAATTTGGCTCCTTTCCTTTATGTCTTAAATTTACTGGCCCTTTTAAAAACCATGCATCAAGTAATTTCTGAGCTGTTAATTTGGTGTCTAGCTTCTCAGCATTTTCTAGAATATGAGCAATAATCCTACACTGAGCTCTAAGATCCAAATCTTTGGGTGAATCTGATTGACTGGTACTGCAAACGTCACACATCTTATTGCAGTCACTATCACCCCAATCTTCATCAAAATGTTTTGCAATAATTTGCCTCCGACATAATGTTCCATTAAGACAATATTTCACCATTTCATATAAATGATCAGTGCTACCAGCTGAAGACTGAAATACCATAGTGCTCACTTTAAATATGTCCTGCATTCTGTACAGGGTTATGCACTCAGCTCTGAGTCCATCTCGTCCAGCTCTTCCACTCTCTTGGTAGTAGTTTTCCATTGATTTGCTGATAGTGTGGTGTATGACAAACCTGACATCTGGTTTATCAATTCCCATGCCAAATGCTACAGTTGCAACTATGGCTTGGTAATGTTGTTCATGCCATCGGATATGGACCTTTGATCTAATATCTGCATCTAAATTAGCATGATAACAAGCCACTTTTAGACCTTTTTTCCTTAGTCCCTCAGCTATTTCCTCAGCATCTTTTATGCTATTTGTGTAGATTATTCCAGATTGATCTTTGTACCTGTATTTCAAAAGTTTTTCTAATATAATGAGACAATCATCTTGGGATGTTGGTTTCTCTAGAATTTTGTAATACAAATTAGGACGATTAAATGTAGATTTTATGATTAAGCAACCAGGTATGTTTAGTATTTTTTGAACATCATTTAGAACATGAGCAGTAGCTGTCGCAGTTAACCCCAATATTGGAATATTGGGAAATATTTGAGTCAGTATCCCAAGATACTTATAATCAGGTCTAAAGTCATGACCCCACTGGGAACAACAGTGAACCTCATCAATAGCAATTCTTTGCAGCCTTCCATCAGTATAACATTTTTGCAAATTCGACATGAATCTCTTACTTTTAGCAAAACGTTCCGGAGTTACATATAATAGTTTTACAGTGGCAGATTTGTCTTTTAGCATGTTCAGTACAGCAGACGTTTCCTCTTTTGGACTAGTGCTGGTTATCAATTTGGCGCTTATTTTCTTATCTGTGAGAGATCTTACTTGGTCTTCCATAAGCGACACGAGTGGTGACACAACCACTGTTAGTCCAGGCCTAACGAGTGCAGGTAGCTGGTAGCAAAGACTCTTACCGGCGCCTGTCGGCATCACGACTATCGCGTGTTGGCCTGATAACGTGGAATTAATCGCGCTCAACTGTTTTGTACGAAAAGTTTTTAATCGAAATTTTTCTTTTAAAACATTTTTAACGTCTTCCGACCACTCGTATTCAGTACCAGCCCAGTCAACGCTCGCTAATGTTTCAGATTTTATAGTATTAATAGTATTTTTTAAACTATTGCGTTTTTCGTGCAATTTTCTTTGCCGGGTCCTCCATTTCTCAAGTTCAGCATCGACCTTTTGCAATTCATCGTTAACGCTGATAAGTTCATTTTGTAGTTCTTCTATGGTCTTCATTTCTTACTAAATAACATAAATTCATCACTATGACTAATTATGTGACTATGTATGTAATAATTTTACGTGATATATATTTTAATTTAGAGCCGCAGTTTTCGATCAATGTGAATTTGTCTTTTTGAAATTTTTGAAATAATTATTCTTCTTCTTTATTTTTTGGCTCCGGCACGGTTTGTGCATTAGCCAGCGTTAAGTAATAAGATTTTTGTAATTCGCCGTTTTAATTATTTACAATTTATGAATAATAAAAAACGAAGGAAACTGCACGACATAACATAAATGAGTAGAAACGAATGAAATTTACAAATGAGATAATATGTGAAGAAATATAATCTCAGTAAAATGGTGGTCATTTACTGAGACTTTTTCAGTGAACTTTTTGGAGGATCCCAAAAAGTTACGTCCAGCGGCTTTGTTTCATTTTCCCACAATTGTGCACTTTTGCAGATTCTAAACAGTTAATAAACCACCGTTATTATACATTTAAACCTGAAGAAACACTACATAGACATAAGAAAACAATTCACACAACTTCACTCGTTGCGTTCCCGCCAAAAAGTCTTGAAATAATTTTAAAGTAGTGGTAGTTTCATTTGTCCAACTAGAAAGGCGAAGGTACGATACCATACTACTTCTTAATCATTTGTACTGTCTGGTGGTAAGACCTCTTGTGAGTCCGCACGGGTAGGTACCATCACTCTACCTATTTCTGCCGTGAATCAGTAATGCGTTTCGGTTTGAAGGATCGGGCAGCCGTTGTAATTATACTTGAGACCTTAGAACTTATATCTCAAGGTGGGTGGCACATTTACGTTGTAGATGTGTAAGGGCTCCAGTAACCACTTAACACCAGGTGGGATTGTGTTTTATGAAAAATGATATAGAGTGAAATGAAATGAAACGCCAAAATAGCTGGTAAGGACTGGATACGAAAGGCAAGAGACCGAAAAGAATAGAGTCCATTTGAAGAGATCTACACTCAGCATTGGGTGGACATGTCTTGAAGAAAAAGAAGAGGAAATGACACGAGATGTTACGGGATGAAATATAGTCCCAAGGAAATGGTGGTTATTTACTGATATTTTTAGTAGACTTTTTGAAAGATCTCGAGAAGCTGTGACCATCAGTTTTGTTTCATTTTCCGACATTTGTGCACTTTCACAGACTTTAAACAGTTAATAAACCACCGCTATTACACATTTAAACCTGAAGAAACCCTAAATTAACAAAATAAAACAATTTACACAACTTCGCTCGTCGAGTTCCGCCTAAAGTTCACGAAGTAACAAATGTCAAATCGAAAGACCGAATACCGTATCAGTAAGTTAGAGGTTAGGGGCACACTGTCTGTGTTTGATAAATTATCTGCCGAAAAGCGATTAAATAGGGTGGCTCTACCGTAATAGTGTAATTTTAAAGATAAAGCCAAAAGACAAATTCAATTTTTCAACTCAGCAAAATTCACTCCCGTTTTTTTTTATTGCTTAGATGCGTGGCCGAGCTCACAACAAATAAAAAACACACAAACAAACGCAATATATTATACTAACAAATATTTCATACGTAATACGATTTTTATTTTTTTATGATATCAATTTTTAACATACCTAAGTAATTGCAATACTAGCGAAATACCTATCGAAACTGGCGTATCTAATTTCATTGTATTGCGCGAATTAAAGTAGGTATTTCTGTAGTCATGTTTTTAAATATTTTGTGACGCACTAAACACTTCTTACATTTTGTAAATTAGACATTTAGTTGCTTTAAAAATTTACATACGCAACAAGGATTAATGTTAATGGAATAATTTTATAGCTTCGCTCTAGTATCCCGACCAATATCAACAGGATATGAAAGACAAAATTAACATATTAGTTGTATTTGCTATTTAAGACTGTTTCTTTAGTTTTAACACAACGTATTTTATTACGAGTATAATTTCAAAACTAACTTACTTACTATTTTACTGGTTATAGGACCTCTTGTGAGTCCGCACGGGTAGGTACCTACCACCGCCCCGCCTATTTCTGCCGTGAAGCAGTAATGCGTTGCGGTTTGAAGGATGGGGCAGCCGTTGTAACTATACTGAGACCTTAGAACTTATATCTCAAAGTGGGTGGCGCATTTACGTTGTAGATGTCTATGGGCTCCAGTAACCACCAGGTGGACTGTGAGCTCGTCCACCCACTTAAGCAATAAAAAGTAACTCAAAAAAAATATCATCTATGATTCATTGTGATGTAAATATAACTACTAACATAGGTCTAAGTCTTATTAACAAGTTATATGAGTCATGGTTACTTGAAATAAAAACATTATTATGTTTATTATTTTATTATGAAATTGTCAACAGTAAAAATATGTAAATTCGTTAACATCTATTTTTGTTTCCTTATTTCAACAAAGATAAGACTAAAATAAATATCCGTAGTTAAAAAAATATATGTTTTATTTCTAACATTCGTTCCATATTATTATCATCGAACATTTTACTATCACATTTTTTCTTAACAATTAGGTACAATGTAAATATGTATGTAAAAATGTTTTATACGTAATTATAAAAGTAAAAATAACAAGTTTGCCGATATGATTCCAAGTTCTTTGACGCGGGTAAGCCAGATTTAAAGGACTCCAGGCTACTAGTCACCTCGGGCAACTGAAATACGATCGATCGGACTATGGCAACGGTATGTGGATCTCATTTACCTCATTCAGAAGAAATACTGATTTGTACAACTTATTTTACCACCGTTAGGTACGGCAAATTTTCGGGGCTGTCATCCAACGTCATCTCCTTCCCGTACATTTGCAAGAGTTCTAGGGCGACCCCATTGGTCCACCCGAAACCTTCCTGCACTATATACTCCCCTCCGCTGCCGTGATGCCCTGGTTCTACTACACTATACTTCTCAAACATCTTATTCCATGTAGTAAAACCGATATAATTGGCGCGAATCCATATTCTTGCTTGTTCTCTCGCCAACCTCCTTGCCTCTTCGTTTCCGCTCATCTCTAAGCCACCGATCAAGATGCTCTGTAAAGGAGGCCAAGCATTTGGATAGTCCCACTGTTCACCTGAATGTAGCACGGAAGCTGGGATCCCACCAGGGAAGCTTAACGCGCCAGATGACAGGAGATATTTTACGAATTTCGCCGCATACCGTGGAGCTTCGGAGCTTTCCACGGCTCCTGACCATAACGGAGTCGCGGAGCTTGGATAAAAGTGACGTCTCGAAGCTTTAGCTTGAGTGTCGTAATCGTACCAAACACCATCATTGGCATCCCAAAGCACGGCGTCAATCGCGTTCCTCCAATATTTGGCAAGACTCCACCATTTTTTCGCTTCACGCCTGTCTTTTAGATGATACCTGAAGTCACCGGCAAGTTCTAGGGCCCCAGCGAAGATAGCATTTAGATCGACAGGCACGATACGAGTCGCGTGAACGTCAGTCAAGCAGCCAACAGTTTCATTCTTGGCAGTAACAAACCATCGAGTCGAAAAGTCCCATCCACTTTCTGCTGCACTTTTCATTTCATTGTAGAAATCTTCTCGCAACTCTTCAGTGGGTAACACTTGTGCGTTAGTATAGTCTTCATAATAAGATTCTGGACGAGGTCCTTTACTTCTTCTGTCAGAAAGATAGCGGAGAAGAATATATTTTTTACCTTCAACTGTAACAGTGACTTTCTTTTTTTCGAGCCAATATTGAAGTTCTTTTTCGACGGTGCTGATGTGTCGTTCAAGCCACACGATGTCGCCGGTGGCTGCAAAATAACTTGCGACCATTGCTGTGAGTAGGGGGGGCTGGCTGCGGCCTAGGTAATAAATTCGGCTGCCATTAGGTATATAGCCAATTTTTTCCACCAAATGTAACAGATTTTCTATCATCCCTTTTGCTGTCTGCATCATGTTACTAATAATTAATCCACGTATCATCCAAAACGAATCCCAGTAATATAGCTCTTTGAATCTTCCACCAGGAACAATAAAACCGTTGGGCACCGAAATGAAACTATACTGGTCTTCTTCTTGAATGAGATCTGGCCTGACTTTTCGGCCTAATTTGGCCCAAATGCTAATAATACCTTTCGCGAATTGCTTGAGTCTGACATCTGTGATGTTTTCCAGGATTGGCGGCTCGGGATTAAAATCAGGTGGATCCCAATCTTCGAGTTCATTCCCTTCCATAAAATGACTGTCCACAAATCGAGCTAGACTAGCGCGACTGGGTTCATGATGTGTCTCTTTCATCAATTCAGCGAAATCTGCGAGAGTTTGATATTCCGGATACTTTAGTTTCAAGTCGACAAAAGTCTTCGAGTCGGGAAAGATTCGGGCCAGCTGAACTTTATGCAGGAGTTCACCGGAGCAATGTATTGAGGAGTTACAAGCGGGAACAATGTGCACAGCTTGAGCGCATGCTCCAAGCAGCCCGATCACGCGGTACAGGCGTATAGAACGTGATTTATACATACTCGACTATTCGAACACAAACTCATTAAGAACTGTTGAGCGATGATAAATTTACGAAACAAACACGACCTTTCCGGTCGCGTGACGTCGCGTTGAGCTCCGCGCGCCGTGTGCCGATATGTCTCGCAGGCGCGAGTCGCGATTTACCCATAATCACTGAACACATCGCGCGATGTGTGTCAGCGGAAAGTGTGTCTCGATGCAGGCACGCCACTTCTAATCATACTAGTTTAAGTTAGTAACTAACGCTTTCACCGTGTAGATCGAATCCGCCAGTACCCTTTGCAGATCTCAAGGCCTTGACCTAAATCACAAAATTATACGAAACTGGTCTAATCTATATAACAGTCGACCAAAGAACTGTCACTTCGACAAATTCATGTTTATTTTAAGTCTAATCATCTTTGACGTGTTAGAAAATTACATGTTATGCGCATGCGCACTTTAATAAGGGTGCGAATACAACGAAAGAAAATAATATAATATAAGTGTTTGGAGATTTTTGTTTTTAAACTTATTTTTACACACTACTTTGCTGATGGCTTTAATTTTAAAAGTTATTACTAATATTTTGTCTCATCTGTCTACAAGGCCAATAAAAAAAATAGTTCGGCATATTCGTATTTTCGTGATGATGTCGTGGTTTGATTCCTTGGGCAGACACCCACCATTTTTGTTTACAGTAAATACACGCTTACACTGCACGACGTCTTCATGAATCACTATCAAAATGATTATAAATATGTGACAAAAACAACTTGAATTTAGGTTATTTGCCTAAGACAGGACTTATTAGAAATGCAATATGGCATCAATCCATTAAGATGAAAGGTTTGGTGTTCTAAAAGATTTATTTAATTAAACATTATCCTAGATAGGGATTAACTTTTTTTTTGCTTGGATGGGTGGACGAGCTCACAGCCCGCCTGTTACTAAGTGGTTACTGGAGCCCATAGAAATCTACAACGTAAATGCGCCACCCACCTTGAGATATAAGTTCTAAAGTCTCAGTATAGTTACAACGGCTGCACCACCCTTCATACCGAAATGCATTACTTCTTCACGGCAGAAATAGGCGGGGTGGTGGTACCTACACGTGCGGACTCACAAGAGGTCCTACCACCAGTATGAGGACCATCTTTAAGATAAAAAATACATTATTTGATCCTGGACATATTTTTCTAGTACCTATTTCATTATATATTTTAATTTAAGCGGTATTCAACTATGTTACATAGTACATTGGTACATAGACTATGTACGAATTGTACTATTGTACAGAATAAAAATAAATATTGGTCTTTTTAACGCCTACCCTAACGCCATCTACCTGATAGTAATGAGAAGTAATTTGATTCACATCAAAATGTTTACTATAGTAAAGTGCCACTAGATGACGCTGTAATGCAAAACCCAATGTCCCGTACTTACACACTATGTATGTTCATAGTCAATAGTAATAAATTTTATTACATTTCAATTAAAAATAGTTTAAGAAAAAATGATTTTATTGTAAAAAATCGTGGGGTGCTTTTCAAGATATTATCAAAATAATCCTTCTAGTCTTATCTGTTCATAAAATATTTATAACTACTGATACCATGCACCCCACGCTTTTTTTTACAATAAAATCATTTTTTCTTACACTATTTTTAATTCAACTTTTTATTAAAATTTATTTTCTATTTTTTAGTAGGATTTTCTTTAAAAGCGTATTTTGTTAGTTTTTTTAAACTACTATTACATATTTATTTTTCATTTTTTATTTGAATTTCAATTTTTCCATATTTTTTTAATATTGAATTGTCATCGTTCCTTAATAGAGTTAATCCGACCTTTTGAAGGGGGTCAAAATCATGTTCAAAGATTCCGTTACATACTAACATACATAGGTACGTCTGTGTGCTTAGTGCGAGTTTTTTAACGTTCTCGATAGCGTAAAAGTTAACCCAATTTTGTATGCAGTTGGAACAGCGCCCCTAGTGGCAAACGTACGCAAACGATCCCGCTCCATACAAATATGAACTAACTTTTACGTTAACGAGAACGTTAAAAAACTCGAACTAAGCACACTGAAGCTAATAAAAGCGCATTAAAATAGACAGAAGCCAAAAATTATCTATTAAGTTATTATATATCTATATAATTATCTATATTTATCTTTTTAAATATAGGCTATACGAAATATAATATGAACAAAGGTCTGAATTAAAAATGTGTGTACAAAGTTTAATGGGTGAGAAATGTGGAGCACGCAAGTATATATAGGAAAGAAGAAGGAAATAAAAATAAAAACAGTCAAATTACATAGTTTATTTGAATCAAACCGAAATAATATGGCAGTTAGGTAATTTTAACAACATTCTTATTTAATTTTGGAACCTTCAATAACAGACACTTAAGCTAAAATTGTACTTAGGTTAATTAAGATAATCGGCCCCCCCACTATGTGAGGTATTTTCTTAATTTAATCAAGAAGAACCGTATTTAAAATACAGTAACAAAATATCCTTAAATGCTAAATTGTAAATTAATTATCTGTTCACAGATGAATAAATTGAAAAGTCTCTCTGTTGTTCCCAAAACTAAGTCTAAATGGTTCTTTTCGTTTGACGTAGACGCTAATCGGTAGACTCTTTTAGTTGCGTTAAAAAGCCGTGGCTTCATTTATATTATAGGAATAATACAATGCATTTTTGGGAGTACACAATTAATCGCGTCCACCTGAATCTGAATTAATATTATTTCAGAATGATTCCAGCAGTAAATTAATAAAGGGGATTATCACCATTTTTTTCACGTAAATGCTTTTGTGAACTCAACTATATATATTAAATAAAATATTCATATACATAGGTATCTGGGAACAAATCCGGCACGGTCGTCCGGCCCCTATTTAGGATTCCCTGTGTTAAGCCGCTTTCAGACTATGCTATAATATAATAGCATATATAGTATATCTCTCATAGCACAACAATATCCCACACAATGCATTCTTATGGACAGACTCACACTGTACTGTACTTTAAATTATTGCCTAACTATATAGGAGTGGGTGATATAAATCGTATATAGATTCAATATCTATATATCGCAGCAATATCGTTGAATCCGATATCGCCCCGCACGAAATCTATATATCGATATCAGCCGATACACGATATTGCTCGATGTGATGCGCATCGCCATATCGGACCGATTCGTGAATCGAAATCTATATTTCGATATCAGCCGATACACGATATTGCTCGATGTGATGCGCATCGGCATATCGTACCGATTCGTTAATATCAGCAATATTCGTTTGGTTCGTATCGAATCGGCCAGAGTGAGTGAGCGCACGATAGGGATATCATGTGATGAATGAAACAGAAACAGGCATTATCCATACAATTGTAAACCTTATATTTAAGTCCATATGTCTGTAGATTATTCTTAGCGTATCAGCAGGATACAATTAAGGAAAGAAGTTTCAACTTTCGACCCTAACTTGAATGCAGTATAGCCTATTTGCATCGTTGAATTTAATTTCACGCGCTTTGACCTTGAACTAGAATTTTTGGACAAGTGTTTATAAATACTTAAAAGTTTTTTGTGTTTGATTTTTAAAGTACACATTTTTCTATTTTTAGTTGAATCCAAATAATTGAGTTTATTTCTTGTGTTTGTATTAAACTTTTGAAATCTACACTCTTTTGGTATATTTTGTAATTTTAAATTAAGACACAAAATACTAAAAACTGAAAATAATGTAGCCAGTCCTAAGCCTGGTAAAAGCATGAAGGAAAGTTTTTTTGATATTTTTATTTTCATGTTCTTTTTATTACTTTAAGATCATATTATAAATTGATATCAGAAAACCAACCGTATAACGTTGACTTAAATCTATATCTACTACGATATTATATCAGCGTATCGTTTCAAATCTCAAATATCATGAATCGAGAAAATCTACTAGCATCCATCAATATATAGATTCAGAAAATATATAGATTCAATATCCGATATTGATCCTCGATATATAGATACGATTCGATACGCGGCAAAACCGATATTACCCACTCCTATAACTATACGCTGCTATACTATATGGCACTATAGTATAGCGTAGTCTAAAAGCAGCTTAACGGATACCAGAGACTGATAAACATACTTATATAAAATTAAATATATACATATATAGATAATAAACTGCCAGACAAAGAGCAAACAAACCTGTTCATCACACAATGTTGGCTTGATGTGGGAATCGAACCCACGACCCTCAGCGCGATAGTCAGGGCCGCTAACTACTACACCATTGAGTCAGTCAATTATAAAACCTTCTAATATTTTAGCACCGGATTGAGATTGAGGAAAAATACGGACGAAAATAAACATTATTAAACAAGTTGTGAAATCTTGTTTTGCTTAGAATGAATTATTATTAATGAATTATTAGCTTTAAAACTCTTTGTTCTTAAATATCATTAAATGTCATTCACATCGGCCACGATTTATTTTTCCTTAGAATCCGTCTCAGATTCTTCGTTTGACTGACCGTTATTTGCACTAGCATCTACAGAGTCCACCAAAGTCAGTACAGCTCCGTACCTATCTAAGAACTCCAGGACAACGCCGTTCGACCATCCGAATCCATCTTGAACCGTGTATTCACCGCCGCCGCCGTATTTACCAGCGTTCAACGCATCGTACTTCTCAAACATCTGTTTCTTTTCGGTAAATCCTGATTTACAAGCTCTCACCCAGACCTGGGCGAGTTCTTTTGCCAATTTACTACTCTCCTCGGAACCAATGTTTTGGATAGCCGTAACGACAATGCTGACTTCTGGAGGCCAAGCGTTAGGGAAGTCCCATTGTTCACCACTGTTAATTAGAGACACGGGAATACCTCCAGGGTATTCGAGCGCTTGCGATTCGTGAAGGTACTCCAGGACTCTAGCGCCATGCTTAGCTAGAAGTGGCTTTTCGACAGCGTTCATCCACAGGGGAGCTAGGTTGCTAGTGTAAAAATATCTACGTGGCTTATTATTCAATATATCGTAGTCGTGCCAGACTCCGTCTTCTTCATCCCATAATGCTTGCTCTATAGAACTTCTCCATTGTTCGGCCATGTAGCCCCAGTGAGCCGCTCTCCGAGGATTCTTTAATATAGCTTGGAAGTTCGCCGTAATCTGTAACGCTCCGGCGAAAATAGCATTCAAGTCTACGGGGATAACGTTCTTTGTGTTTAAATTGGTTAGATTACCACTGTTGTCGCCGCTTTCTGAAATAAACCAGCGCGTAGAAAAGTCCCACCCGCTCTCAGCGGCGCTTTTTAAATCGGCGTAAATATCATTAGGATCAGTAGTCTTGTTTAATTTCTGAGCCAATTCGTAATCTTCGTAATAGGACTCCGGTCGAGGACCAGCGCTTGGAATATAATACCTCAGGAGAGTGTAAACTCTGTCGTCCTTGTTGAAAGCGATAAGATGAGTGTCCAGCCAATATTCTAATTCCTTTTCTAAAGCACTAATATACTTTCTGATGAATTCGATGTCCTTAGTCTTTTCGTAATAAAGCTTTATCATGGCCGCCAATAAAGGAGGCTGGCTACGTTCTTGGTAATACCATCTGCTTCCATTGGGAATGTGGCCAAATTTATACAGAAGCTCGATTAGGTTTTCGATCATTCCTTTTGCAGTTTCGGTCATGTCAGTGATTAGAAGACCTTCGATAATCCAATATGCGTCCCAATAGTAGATTTCTTTAAATCGACCTCCAGGAACGATGAAGCCATGTGTCATAGGCACGAGACTAGATTGTTCGGGTTTTTCAAGGACCGAGGGCTTAACGCGCCTGGCTAAAGTTGGCCAAATATCATTTAAAGCTTTAGCGAATTCCCGGAAACCTTCATCACGAATTTTGGCGAGGAAAGGCGGGTTTTCTTTATGGTCATCCGGTTTCCATTCTTCAAGTTCGCTGGTTTCATCAAAAAAGTCAACGACAAATTCCTGCAGGTCTTCTTTCGTTGGATTATGATTCGTGCGGTCCAACAGCTCTTGGAAGGCGGACAGTGTTGCGTTCTCGTCTTTACGCATTTGAAAATCGACGAAAGTTTTAGAATCGGGGTAGAGTCTGGCCATTTGAACGTAATGGAGCAGCGTACTGTTGCAGTAAACTGGTCGGATGCAAGTCGCTGGTAGGTCATCCGCGATTACCGTCGTCAATCCCACCAGTAGTAGAAACAACCTCATCTGTAACAAGAAAACAGTACTGTAGAACCAATATGTTCCATAGACTTTATATAAGAATGTAAATCTTCCTTTCAAGTCACCATATCACACAGAAAGTTCTTAAATAATAAATAGATGATTATTTAACAATAAAAAAATATGAAAATCATTCTCATTATTAATCATTGTTATATGGATTTATATATATTATTTTAAACCGAATTTTATGTAAATTGTGTTTTGAGTGTGCAATCAAGTATCATGTTCTCTCTCTCTCCCTCTGTCTCTCTTTCTTTATATTTCTATTTTTTTTATTCCTACCCAAGTTGATAGCCTTGAGAGGCTATTTCAACGTAACCTTAACTAGTAGGTGAGCTCACGGGGCTCAAACCTGACGACATTGCTAACACTAATCCTAGCAAGAGCAGTGTTCCGCTGAATCTACCATCGGATCGGAAACGCGACCCACTGAGAAGATCCGGCGAGAAACTCAGTGGGCTGTGTCTGAGGGTTAATTTACTTGTCGAGCCCTTCGTCGCAAGCGACGGGTTCGACGAGAACAATGACCGGTGCTTGAGGTACCCTAAAGCACCGTTAGTGTATCAGGAGGATCCGAAATGACGTGTTTTGGGGGACATATACTACTTTCCATTCTGTCCGCAGGATCGGGAATGTTATATTTCAGACGAGAGCAATACGCACCCCAATACTACTCGCTGGAGTTATGCAAAATTTTGTGTAATCCACTAGTATCGTATAAATCTAATACCGGTTACAGAATCTGTCCATTTAATTTTAGACCATTAATATAAAACGAATATTACACGTTTGACTCCGGCCATGAACAAGTCAATAACAAATTTTCGTTAACATTATTAGCATGTGCAAATCATAAATAGGTACGTCAATATTTTTTGTCAAAAATACCTTGACCTGTTGCGACTTGTTTTTACGATCGTTTTTTTTTTAACTAGCTTCGCTGATTAGATTCAATCAAGATTTTAAACTTAAGAAATATCTTGATCCTCTTTTTACGTTATGTTCCATAACCTGTTTCACCTTGTTCGGTCGTAGATTCAGAAATATAATATAAAGTCAAATATCTGGCCACTATTTGATATCGAGGCTGTTGTAGAAGATGTTAGTAGGCTAATAATACCAGAAGGTGGTATTAAACTACTTTTAACAGAAGTGGTGGGTTAAAAAGCCATATAACGGTATCACTTAGATTGTCTTCTTTTTCTCCACCGTATCCCACTAAGTGGGGTCGGCACAGCTAATTTTTCTCTTCCATTCTCTTCTATCAGCCGTCATCTCAACACTCACTCCTCTCTCTCTCTCATATCGTCATTCACACACTTCATCTATGTCTTCTTCGGTTGACCTCTTCCCCCTCTACCTTGCACTACCATTTCACATGCATCTTCTCTCTACGCATCACATGTCCATACCACGCTAACCGTCCGCTCCTTAATTTGTTGCTTACCGGGGCCACTTTCACACTTCCTCTGATATACTCATTCTTTATCTTATCCATTCTTGTCACTCCACACATCCATCTCAACATTCGCATCTCTGCCGCATGCACTCCTCTTTCATGCTTAACTTTCGTCGCCCAACACTCAGATCCATACAGCACGACACGGTATCACTTAGATTGTATTTTACTATTATCGTAGAAATCCTCTCAGCTCCTAGATAGAACTTAATAATGAAATGTCGGTAAGGAAATTATTAGAACAAGTAGGCTATCATTCGAAATATTAGGCTCCAACCAACAATCACATTTAAATATGTTGTTAAATCTGCCACGATAAATGTAAATCTTTGCAACAACAAAAAAACCGAGGTCAAATCGATGGTTATTTAACTTTTTATTTTGTCGGATGTAAGGTCTATTGGATATTAGTACTGTGGACTTTAATTTAAAAAAAAACTAAATGATTTTTATTAGCCAAGTTTTGTTTTCATGTAAAGATTTAACTGGAATAACCCCTTAAGCTGCCACGAATAGATAGCAATAAAAAAGTAAAACTGGTTAAGATTTGGTTTTACAGCATCAATGACTATCGCGGTATTTTTAATCGAATAATAATTTTGATTAACTCGGTAGTGCAATAGTTAATGGCCCTGACTATTGCGCTGAGGGTCGTGGGTTCGATTCCCAGATCGGGCAAACATTCGTGTGATAAACAGGTTTGTTTGCTCTTTGTCTGGGTGTTTATTTTCTATATGTATATAAATATGTATGTCACTGTCTGGTACCCATAACACGGGGAATCCTAATTTGGGGCGGTATGACCGTTCGTGGTTTGTTCCCAGTTATCTATATACATATTATATAAAAATGAATTGCTGTTCGTTAGTCTTGCTAAAACTCGAGAACGGCTGAACCGATTTGGCTAATTTTGGTCTTGAATTATTTGTGGAAGTCCAGAGAAGGTTTAAAAGGTAGATAAATATGAAAATGCTCGGAATTAAATAAAAATAACAATTTTGTTTTTCCTTTGATGTGTCCCCCGTCAGACGGATTCCTTTTGATTTTATACAAAAGTTTAGGTCTTTTATTTTTCGATTTAGGCACTACGAAGTCTGCCGGGTCAGCTAGGTTATTAATAAATAACTTGTAGCAAACCACTAAATAATAAATACAAAACACTAAACACAATAATAATTTATTTCCTTGTAGAATTACGTGTAACGAATCCAGTATTTATTGCCTCTTGTCCTGGTGAAACTGGATAGGCTTCCGGGACATCAGTAATCCCTCATTCATAAAAAAAATACCTACTGTCATTGTGACAGATCATTACCAACCTTGACTTTGATCATTCTGAAAGTCATGTTTCGTGATCAATAACCGATGCTTCTAGTTTTTTACTAAGTTTCCTATGTTAGAAGATTATTTTCCAATTAAAAGTCTTATGCTAAAGTCTATCCTTGACAACAGCGCCGAAATGTTGCCAATTTTGAAAATCGTGGTAAGAAACCCGTCAGTAAAGTACTTATTTACATTTAGAACTTAAAAAAGCCTTCTTTATGTTTATCATTTCCACCTACGTCGCTTTATTTGTTTTTTTCTGGAAGAAGAATGAGCTTACATGAGACTCACTGTTTAACTACATGTAAAATGTTAAATTTATGGTTTTTTTTTTATAGCTTAGATGGGTAGACGAACTTACGGCCCATTTGGTGTTAAGTGGTAACCGGGGCCCGTAGACATCTACGACGTACATGCCGCTACCCATTTCGAGACATGAGTTGTAAGGATTCAATTTTAACAGTACAACGGCTGTCCCATCCTTATCCGAAACACATTACTGCTTCACGGCAGAAATAGGCGAGGTGGCGGTACCTACTCGTGCAGACTCATAAAACGTCCTTCCACCAGTAAAACTATAAACTTATAAAATTTATTATTCTTAAAATTAATTATTTTTCTGTCCGTGTATATTAGTGAAGTCCTCCTAAACGCAAAATCAATGCCTAAGGCGCTGGAGCAATTAAAAAAAAAACGGCTGGACCAATTTTGATGATTTTTTTTTTGCATGTGCTCCATTGTTCGAGAATGTTTTAGAATCACAATTTAAATATTATAACAACCTTTTTTAATTCATCAAAACAGTCCAGATTATTACAATTTATTCAAAAATGTTTTGAAATTTTCGCTAGCATATAATAAGAGAATGAAGAAAATAGCCTAAAGCGAAAACGGTGGTTGGTACCACCGCCCTGCCTATTTCTGGCGTAAAGCGGTAATGCGTTTCGATTTGAAGGGTGGGGCAGCCGTTGTACTGTAAAAACGGAGACCTTAGAACTAGTATCTAAGGTATCTTCAGGCATCTATAACGTAAATGCCGACAGGAAATTAAGTTGTAGATGCCTATGGGCTCCGGTAACCACATAACATCAGGTGGGCCGTGAGTTCATCCACCCACCTAAGCAATAAATATATATGTATAAATATTTTATTTGTAAGCCATTATCGCCAAAATAGTGAACCATTAATATAAGAAGAGGAAAGATTACATTTTTTCTTTGTTACTTTCTTTTTTTATTGTGTTTGTTACTGTCAGGACCAGATTCGTATAAAAGAATATTCAATAAGATCAATAATAAATTAGCGTTCGCTAATTGAATATAAAACTGTTCTGAATTTAATACACCAGTTTTTTCCCGCCATTTTGCGTTTGAATCTCAATTATAAATTACTTTTGTTCTGGAACAAACCCGTGTTTCACTGTTTAGAGTTAGAGTGGTTTATATAAGTCAATTTAAACTATGAATAACTGGGAGACGAGGGAACAAATCTCACTGGCAAACTAGGATGTGGTGATCATTAAGTCATACTTATTTATAAATAACCTAGCTTAGATTTAGAAAAACGTTTGTATATAATAATCAAACGGTTTCTTCTTTTTAATCTTTTGTTTTTTTTTGTTTTTATTCCCATCGAAACCCATTTAAAGCCAATCGATACTAATGTAATATGCATTTGAGGGAGTCCGTATAGTGTCCCTTCTCTATTTCGCGTGAAATTCGTGTTTTTGGATCACTCGTAATTAACATCACAATTGAAACAATAGGAGTTTTATTGTTGCAGCGGCTTAAACAGTTTTATGTTTATACATTTATTATTTTTTTCATCTTATAGATTTTCGGCGGTAAAAAAATCTCGTGTCACAGACTATCTTCTTTTCTCGTGCGTTCCGACTTACGTATCGTAAAAAAAAGGTGCGTTCTTAAACGCCACACATTCATTAAAAATAGTGATAATTCGTCAACACACTTCACGTGGCATGGGTCCACCAGAATTTCCTGGAAAAACCTAGAAACATATATTATATGTCTCCACCGAAAATCTATAGTTAAGCAGGCATCTTCAGACTATCGGTTAAAAGACATGTGATCCTACAGTACTATGAAAGCGCTTTCATATATCGACAGACCTTTGAAATGGCCTTTACTTTTTCATAATGCCAATACAGATTACGATTAAATATCAAACATCACTTACACTT